TCGCGCATGCATTCAAGTGCACGGTTGTGGCATGATCACCAAAACAGAATTATATATGGACACAAGATGTGTGCAAATGTATTTAGTATCCTATCCATGTGAACATGATTTAAGTAGGGGGTGGACCTCACCTCCTCGAGGGGGGTCCGGGGGCATGCTCCCCCGGGAAGAATTTTTAAGTTAAAAGCATCAATCTGTTGCACTTTGAGAGCAAAATTAAGAGATCTATGGATACATCTCTCAACATCCAGATTTTCTCTTTCTTTATGGATATTTTACAAATCACTCCCCTTTTAAAATATATTCTTGTTTATTAATAACAACTTTTTTTTACTATCATATAGTATTTTATACCTGTTTACTTTATTCTCAATTTTTTTTATAACTATAATGATCATATAAAGATGTGCCTTCTACTGGTTGTAGAAAAAGCTTCTTATATTCGTTAGCATAGCTAGCTAACCAGATGCTAATAACAACAAAGTTATTGACTGTATGATCAGTATGACAGATGAACAGATCGCCACTGGGCTTTCAACTAAAGACACAGCCACACAAAAACTGCGGCATGTGTACGGCTCCTTATGCGTATTGCAATTTTTTAAGTGCCGGAGCGACGTTCTGGTGCTCTCCGGCAGAACTACACCCCTGTCAGACGAGAAATGACACGTTTGGCTCGTGTTGTGTTGTGTTGAAGGACCCTGACCTTGAAGTTCAAGGTCAGGGTCATATAGGTTGAAAATGAAACCTATCATATAGGTTTCATTGAAAATGAAACCTATATGAAAGTAAACAGGCACTCGCTTGTTTAATTCTTTTGCGGTCTAGATTTCTTTATTTTATTTTTTTTGCGTGTGTTTATAAATTACCTCGAGAGCCGCATCAAATGGTCTCGTGGACCGTATACGGCCCGGAGGCCAGAGGTTCCCCACCCCTGCACTAGAAGCACAGAGGAAAAAATGACACCACATGCACACTTTTTGTTACAGTGGTGATGTATAGTGAAAATATTATGGCAAAGACACGTATAACTTAATAACACCCCAGCACATTTTATTGATAGAAGAAAAAAAAACATAACTGCTTATCAATAATCCTAACCTTGAAAGGCACATGAGTTTAAGTCTGAACTCAGGGTTGTCAATCCTTTGTTACCTTTATAAACACTACAAATCCAACACAGGGATCAAATTGTTAGTATAGAACTGTAAAATAAAGGTACTCCCTGGGGGTTTTCACATGTCACTCAGCCTGGGTCAAAAACAATGTCAGAAAAGATAATGATGCCTGGACGCAGTATTTATTTGCTCACCTTACTTGCTTCGGATTTCTGACAGATTTTGAGATACATTTTTTTTGCGTTGTATTTTGAAGATCTGTTTAATTTGATACTGTCCAAAGTTTACCAAAGAAAAATATTTGTGTAATCCAATGAGGAGATGCATGTGAAGAATAATGTAAGACTCTAGGGTATTATATGTAATTCCTCTATCTAAAAAAAAGGGGGAAAAATGCACAGTAGGGGAAAGAAGCTGCCTATACCTATACCTACCTATATTTTCTATGCAGTCGGATTTGTGTTGATGTGTAAAAATGCTAATACCATGATTTCTGTTTCCATTAGAGTATGAAACAAACTGCCCTGATAATGCTAACGGGGCTAGTATTTTTACTTACAGCAAAACCTAGCTGCTAATAATAATAATAGGTTTGTGTAGAATGTCTCATCATCAGTGTGCGTCCATTTCATCAGTGTGACTTTGAAGGGCTTTTTAACCTCAGGTTTTGCTGCAGTGTAGTGACTGCTTGGTTCCAGTCCAAAAGCTTCATAAAATGTGACGGCATCATTCTGACATCACACTGAAGGTGAACTGTGACTCATTATCACATGACAAAGAAATTCCTCTTGGGGAAAAAGACACAAGGTTGCTATGAAACATGTACCATAACTTTATGACATGACAGCTTAATGCCACACAAACTACCTTTTGGTGTTTTGGTGATGAGACTGACCTCATAAGTCTGTGCTATTTTGGGATTTTATCACACTTTTGTTCATTACTTTCCTCTCTGCTGGTGCGGGCACTGCTGACGTCATGTGCAGCAAGTCTGACAGAACAACGCCAATAAATTCATTACGTAATGGACCGTCCTGTGAGGGATGTAGTTAACTGTTTTATTGCTCTGTTTGTTAAGGGTATTAAAGACACAGAAATCTGACGTTCTTTTTGTTCTGTCTGTTGTGCTAGTTTCTCTGTGACACAAACCAAAAAAACTTTTTATTGTTTTGTATGGAAAGTTGAGTGCTGAAACTAAATAAAAAAGCCTCTGGATGTTTGGATGCATGACAATTAAATGGGTGGCCAGTGGGTGTTTCCCTCTGCCCTGTGTATCTATCCTCTTCTTAATGAAGCAGAAGTGAACTGTGCATAGACTGAAGACTTCCGTTAAATTTAGAATTGAATTTATGGTACCTTCGGGCAAGTATCTAGATGGCTGCCAAATGTGACAGATAGCCGGGTTTTGACCCCTGAAGCGAGAGAGTCAAACAGATATCTGCTCACAGCAGAGGAGCAGAGACCTGACTGCAGACATTACAGAAAGGAAATGCATCTCGCTATTAAGATTATTGTAATGGGATGAACAAAGTGTCCCTACGGCTGAGGCATATCACTAAATATATGACTGCAACTTTTACATTCTCTTCTTTGTGTTGGGAACTATGAATACAAATATCCTCTCTTAACCAGGTGTCTGTATTTGTCTGATATGGATGAAGACAAAACATTGCTTTAATATTATCAAGGAACAGCAACTTCAAAACATACATTTCTGTAACATTTTTATATTCCATTTTGTTTTGCAATGCTCATAGTGTTATACTCATCCTATAGTTATAATACATTATATTGTGATTATAAGTTACTTTGTTTGCTTTAAGTGAAGTGCAACAAATTATATTTACATCTATGCAAGAACAACACGAAACAACTTAATTTTTCCTTCACTACCATTTAGACTACTAAGAGTATCTTAAAGGTAGGTAAGTTTGAGAAACCGGCTCGAGATCGCTAGAATTTGAAAATACACAACAGGAGAAAATCTGCCACTTCCTTACAGAGCCCCTCCTCCAACACACACGAACGCGCACATGACCAATGAGGGCACGAGATAAGTTTGTGCACAGATGGAAGGCTGACAGGCAGGTAGGCCATCCAGTTATTTTAGCCGGGCCGGCTAAAATGATTGGTCGTGCTTTTTACAGTATTACGGCTTCCACAGATGACATTTTTTTATGGATTTTTTGTCAAAGCACTTAAGATATTCATTGCTATCGGGATGTTAAGAGCATTCCATGGAATATAACAAAAAGTGTATGAGCCGGTTTCTCAAACCTACCTACCCTACCTTTAATATAACAATGCAGTGCATTTAAATACGGATTGTAATGCAATACAATGTATTACAACAATGGACAATTTAAAACACTATCATTATTGCAAAAAAGCAATTATGTAGTATTCAATTCATTGACCTTAATTCATAATAAAGTGTTTTATATAAATCATTAAGTATATTGTGTTTTTACAACTATAATTATACTGTGCTGTAAGTAGATTAAAGTGTGTTAAAGGCATATCTATAATGCATTGAAGACATGGGTGTTATAGAAAGTGTTAAGCAGACGATGCATGTCCATGAAGGATGCTCACCACCACGCAGTGCCACACAGACTAAAGCAGTAATGATGGGCTGCTCTCCACAGAGCACAATCATGATGATCAGTAAGAGAAATCAATGTTGTTTTGTTGGAGCATTGATCCCATTTGTGATGAGAGAAATTAAAAGAGACCCGAGTGCCCCTTTGTGAAGTCAGCCTGCATTATCGTTCACATTTGTCTCCCCATTGATCAGAGCCTGTTTTACACACTGTATTTACTTGTCAACGTGAGAGAGTGTTACCGGGGCCCTAGGGTTTTCAAACAGGGTATCAGGTTCATTGTCTATAGTCCGTGGCAGTGCTCCAATTGGTAGCATCTACTGTAGCAGGACCCCTAATATTCATTTAGAAATGGTACAGTAATCTAATTACCGCAGATGTATAGGTCTATGTATCTTTGGGAATGTGTGTGTTTAAATGATTTAGACTGATATAGCAATTACATCTAAGAGCAGTCTATTTCTCCCTTTTTTAAATGGCATCCCCATCTATAAGTGTATCATAACATCCCATATGTCATTTAACTAACTGCCTGGTTAAAATTCAGCGGCGCAAACTTAATGTTGCTCCATTTTTTAGTTTGACACTTCACCGTTTGCCAGCAGTGGCACATTTAGAGGACACATTTCCTGAAATAGTTATTGGCTAAGAGTCAGTACTACTTACACTTTACTACTTAGAGTGAAACATTAACGTTTTATTCCTATTCACTTAAATGAGAATCATATTTTTGGTGAATGGTGATATAATACAAGTTTAAAAAGGTAAAGATATTAGCTGCAGCAGAGAACTTTCTGAGCCATGTTAAAGAATTTATAATCAACATTTGACATAACTGTAACAAAGAGACATATTGGGCATATGTGAGGTGGCCAGTAACATGACTCCAAAATAATATTTATGATGCTCGATATATAGATAATCAGATGTTTGCTATGTTTTTCATGGTAATAATATATCAGTGCTGTGTTCACAGTTTGTTTGTCTTGCTCCCTGTTGGCCAAACAAATATCATGTATTGCAGAATGAATGATGTCCCCAAAGAGCTTTGTTAAGATAATCTAGCAAATCACACAGAAAAGTGCAGGAGGTGATTCAGATAAATCCTAATGAGAAGACTGGCACTCAGATAATCCTCATTAAGTGACTAATAAGAGACTTCCTAAACATTGGCAATACCAAAACATACAACCTCATAAACATATGCACAAGAAGACATGTGAGGTATTGTATTTCAAGGCAAATAAAAACCATATCCTTCTCCCCTCCTATTTTCCAGGCAGTGTGGTTTACCTGGGGATGATGGTTGGAGCGTTCTTCTGGGGAGGAATGTCTGACAAAGTGGGCCGCAGACAATGCCTCCTCATCTGCATGTCCACCAACGGCTTCTTCGCCTTCCTGTCCTCTTTTGTCCAGGGATACGGCTTGTTCCTTGTTTGTCGTATCTTTGCAGGCTTCGGGTAAGTTTCTGGAAAAAGTCCAGGTCATTCTTGGGTTGATGAGGACGGCAAGTTTAATTCATTTCTGAAATATCAGGTCAAATATTTACACTAAGGCAGCTCAAAAAATCTCCTTCTGTGGGAACGCTATGTTTGCATTATCTGAATATCTACAGCATACTGTATGTTCAAATGTGCATCAGGGCTAAAGCAGTGATTGGACAGAAACTAGGAGTGTTTATATAGGCCTGTCTATCTATTTTTCCTTATACTGCCAAGACTTCGTAGTTTCTGACTTTTCTTTTTCTGTAGAGGGTTCACTATAGATCTGTCTGTCTTTCACAATGTACATTTATCATTCCTGCAGAGCAGAGCAGTAAAGGCTATAACAAGCTAAAGTGTAAGATGTCATAGCCAGAGACAAGACATTTCAATATACAGTTTTTCAATCTTCGTAAAATCTGTTAAATAACCAGATTGTGTCTGAGTGTGTAATGATGAAAACTCCACCAGAGACAGACTGTGTGTCCTCTTACTACATTGAAACATGGTGGAGATGGTGATTTATCATATCCTCTTCTTTGACAGAGTAACTGTCCCTTTAAGAGCTAATTCAGTAATTGCATCTGTGCCGTTCCCTAGAGACCTCCAGAGTAATTGAAAAGGTTGTTCAAACTGCCAATACGACCTGCGCCTCTGAATCATGAGAAACTGGCTCTGAGGATGTTATTTGTATTAAGTTCGAGGAGAGAAATATGCTTAGTCGTGCTTAAATGTTGCTGACTTGGTCTCCTTTGATGATTTAGCAATGAAGCCTCTGTTTTTTCTATTAAAATGGAAAACAATCCAGAAAACACTTTAAAGGCTGAATAACAATTTTTACATTTAATCCAATTACAATATTTGTTTGGCAGTGTTTGATTTGTTATGCTTGACCAAAAATAGGTCACAATCATGAATGCAAAAGGGAATAAATAAATACTAATAAAGTTAACTTTCTGTCCTGGTTTCTGCCTTACTCCCACTAATGTTCCCATTTTCTCTGGTTCTTGCAGGATAGGAGGTGCTGTGCCCATCGTTTTCTCCTTCTTTTCAGAGGTGTTGTCCAGGGAGAAAAGAGGAGAGCACCTCAGCTGGTTGTGTATGTTCTGGATGATCGGAGAGATATATGCCTCCGCTATGGCCTGGGCCATCATACCACACTATGGTGAGTGTATCGGTCAGAAAATATAGTAATACTGCAGCTTTCAAGGCTTGTGCTTTCTACAGAAAAGGAAAACAGGGCAATCATGAGTTGTATACAAGTTGTATCAAGTAAAGGCCGTAACAGGATTAAGTTTGGCATATAACAAGCTTGGCAATGTGACTTTATGCGAAGCTCCTGACTACAGGTTAGACAACTGTAAGGCTTCCCTGTTACTGTGGGTTGAGGTGCTAGTTTTCTCTGCTATGGGAATCAATCATCTAATGGCTGTGAGTGGCTGCAGGCTGTGAGAAGCAGAGGTTAACCTCTTAAGCACGGCGGTCCCCCCATTGGACCCCTCCCACCGTTTTTTTTTCGAGATAATGTCTCAGGGCTTCTTAACATTTATGAAACTATTAATGTGTAGCACCAGATTAACGGGAAGAATCTCAGCTAACTGAAGATATTAACCATTTTTGCCAAAACAAAACACAAGTCTCATAAGAAGCGTCTAAATGACCCCTGAGCGAAAAAATTCTAACGCACTGCGGCACACAATTCAAGATAAAAATACCCTTATTACTTATCGTAGCTGCACATACAATATAGCCGATTAAAGCTGAGACTCCACTGATTATTTAGGTATAGTATCATCACTGAGCGATCCGAACTTGCGACAGGGGAAGCAAACACAGACATCACAACACGTACCTTTACGGAGCTTTTACGGCAGATCGTCTCACCGTAGCTGTCAATTAGGTCAAAAGACGTGTTCAATGGCATTAAAACGGAAAAAAAAAATGCTACAACTGTTGATCCATAGGTCGATAATGTACCTGTGCCTTTGAAAAAATTATTTATAATCCATAATTCCATTTTTTATGTAAAAATCGGAGCGGAAAAGTTAGCTGCTAATGGTAGCCACCAGAGTGTATGCAGCTTCCGGTTTTGGTAACGCATCACTCTCACTCCTTATAGAGTGGTGAAGTCACGCCCATCTACTTCCGGTCCATGGGACCTTATTTCGGAAAAATAATGTATTGAAGTCAATGGAGAGAGAAAACGTATTTTTCGATCCCGTTTGAATTGTGTCATGAATTACACATATGATGTTTGTCAATCTTAAAAAATCATTTCCATGTCAAAAAAGTCACAGTTTGTCGTAAAACTGTTGAAATATAAGACTATGAAAAATACGCAACTAGAAAGACTACAAATCCCAGAGTCGCGTAAGTGATGTCACAATTGTTTTCCTCCACTAAAATAGAGATAGCTAAGGCCCCGGCTCCACGAGGACAAATACGGCAAAACGCATCGGAGTAACGCAAATGCAACCGCAAAAAACCTTCCGTCCCCACGCAATATACACCGGATTGTGTCAAGCTCCACGAGACGGCTCCGTTTACATCCAAACGCTGGAAAAGCTGCAGTACATATGCCGAACCTGTACGTGGCGCTGTAACTTCCTCCACAAAAGCAGCAACTTCCTCCACAAAAGCAGCGAAGAAGAATGGTTGTCATGGCTGCACTTCTGTGTATTCTCCGCGGTGGGGGCCGACAGAACCGGGCAGAGTTTTTCGCCGGTCAGCGTGTGTTAAAGTTTAAATCTTCCGGACAAAATTATAAAAGTGCCGGTCAAAGGTCTTCATTGTTATTTATTGAGCTTTAAAACAAATGAATAACGACGATATATAATGATATATAATCATCAAATACACGGAGCCTGTCTCTTTTTCCTCTCTTCTGACAGCGTCAGTGTCTGTCTCATGCAGCAGCTGATCCTGTAATGAGTGACCCGACAGTAAAAATGAACATATTTATAACTAGTTTAGGTAGTTTGAGAGGTAATTAAAATAGCTAAGGGTGATGATCTGACTTGAAGTGTGTGTTTTGCTCCCGCTGCATCACAGCGGCAGGAGCTGCGTGTCTCCGTCCTGTCAGATTAGACTTCACTCGCGTTTATGTCCATATCGAGATAAAGATAAATAATCTGAATTCAAGGAGGAGCTCCTGTAGATGTTGCACAAAGAACTGTAGCATGGTCAGTAGCGACTGGAGCACGATAGCAACCCTGCGGGGGAGAGGCGGGGCTATGAAAACGAATGACCGTATAGGCGACTCCACGGCCCCGTTGGACCCCCCAGAGCGCTCCGTTCCCAGATCTATCCACCTTTGGACCCGTTGTCGTTTGCGGGGTCTGTTTCTACGTTTCCCTTACGGCGTTGTCGAGCTTAGAGGGCTATACGCATGAGAAATATGCGGATTCAACCCGTTTTCGTCCTCGTGGAGCCGGGGCCTCAGATAAGATAACGCCATATAGATAGAATCTATCTATATGGCGCTGGCTAAGATAAGATAACTTTAACAAGATGCCTGTGTGCTTAGTACCAGGTTGTTATCATACCAGCAATGGGTCTTGCTCGTTCTTTCGCTTCCCGTCTGATGAAAGGACCAGGAGTGGCTTGATCAAGTTAGCTACCTAGCTAGTAGCTAGCACGTTAGTTAGCATTACAGCCTTGTCATTTTTATTAGCCTTAACATGAAGTAACATTAAGTAACCCAAAATGTTAAACAGTAAGAGTAGTAGTCATATTTCGTGAACCCTTTGAAGAGTACTGTCACCGGTGTGATCATTCTATAATACACAATTTAAGCCCGGGGGAGAAATGCTAACGCTAACGCTAGCGATCTTTTCTACTTCATGCTATCTGCACAAATGGTTGACATTAAACATGAAAACGACCAGGCAGTTCAGAGAGAATCAAAGGAAGGCAGGCAGGCAGCTTTGCATGACATTCTTCTGGACGTGTTTCATTGTGGTGATAGTGAGGGTAGTCAATCGTTTTGTTGACAAGACAGTAGTGACGGCCATCTTGGTGACGTGTGTTGTTGACCAGAGATGTAGTTCATTGAGCGTTTCACACAAACAAATGTGTTACTTCACAGTTTTACGACACATTTTTTTTTTTTTTACTTGCAAAATTATCTTTTAAATTGACAAACATCATATGTGTAATTCGTGGCACAATTCAAACGGGATCGAAAGATAATCTTTCTCTCTCCATTGACTTCAATACATAATTTTTCCGAAATAAGGTCCCATGGAGGTCCACCGGAAGGGGAGGGAATTCGCCTCTCTATTTGTTAACGTTTTGGTGTGTATATAACTTTCCCTCGATCCCTCGATCCCAGAAGTGGGTGTTTTTGGCTAAATCTCTCTAAAAAGGTCAAATTTCACTTGTTTTGCATCAATCTTGATACAGGGTACTTATATGTTGTACTTTGGATTCTTAAAGCTTTTAGTCTACTAACCCATCATCCAAGGGTAGTTTTCACTATAAGTAAAAAAGAATTTTTTGACGGACACTATCATTTACAGTTTCTTACTATGTAAAATCTGAATATTCTTTAAAATAAAAAACATCTATATTGATTCTGACTTTTCTACATCCAACTCACAGGTTTATCATTACTTTGAGAATAAAGATTATTAATTTAACCCTTTTAGAAGGGAAGATATGGTCATTTGTTCTGGGAATGTCATTTTCGAGCCTGAGACCTGAAAAACAGGCTCAGGGCTTAACAGGTTAAGGGATTAACATACGCATGGATACCACAGAGCAGATGCATGGGTCAGGGTGTGCCTGTGGGGGAGAGAGAGCTGTGATTTATGACAATACCGCATCAGCTGCACTCGTCATGAAAAGAAACATAAAGAAGGGAATTAGATTTCGTCCTCTCCTTTTCTCCTACCCTTATTCCTTAAACTTCTTTCCTGTTATTTTTAACCTGCTGTCCCTTCCTTTTACTGCCCCCCTCTCATCCTGGATTGTACTCATCTCATCTCTCTGACTAACTCTGTCCTTCCTTTTATTACCTCTCCTCTCTCGCAGCTCTCTGTCTCGGCAGTGTTCTTCTTGATCAAGCATAATTAGGTTTTTCTCCTTGCTCTAATAGGACAAAGCTACAGCTAGCGGTGATTTATGACCAGACCATGCTTTAGCCAAGCTGTGACGTCATTGGGAGAGAGACAATGTGTGTGTGTGTGTGTGTGTGTGTGTGTGTGTGTGTGTGTGTGTGTGTGTGTGTGTGTGTGTGTGTGTGTGTGTGTGTGTGTGTGTGTGTGTGTGTGTGTGTGTGTGTGTGTGGGGGGGGGTGCTATTGATGATGACAGGTCTTCTTCAAGGGAAATTGAAGGCAATAACATCTGACATTGTAAGAGGTCCTCTGAGTTAACACACACAAACTGGCACAAGGGACCAAGCGAAAGGTTAATCATGGAGTTTCCCATTAAGGACTTCTCAGTTACTTAAATAGATGCATACACACATGCACTAATGCACACACAGCTGTATATCTGCTCACATGGCTGAAGGACTCAAATAACCCTCTGAAACCAGAACGAGTCTTCACGAGGAAACTCTGCTGTCAGATCTGGTGATATTGTATTGAAGGGATGGTAGTGGCCTTACTTTGCTCTTATTCTCTCTGACACTCACTAACACTCTGCCTCTCTTTCTCTCAGTGGGAACTACGTGTCTCGCATACATACTCCAGCGCTCACCAGTGGTTTTTATGTTTTCCCTAAAGTGCTGCAGTGCCTGCCACCAACAGCACTACAGTGTGTGGGCCCAAATGCCTCCTGCAGAGATACCTTTATGTCTTTGCGGGAAGACATAAAGGTATCAGTGATGGGTTATGATACGAGTGCCTCAACACTGGTGTTTAATACACCATTACGGCTCTCATTTATCCACCTAATGTCTTCTAAAAAAACCCTGTCAGACTCACAGCTGGGGTCCTGAAGGAGGTCTGCTCAGCACAGATCCCCATCACACTGCAGAGAGAGTTTGAGTAGTTTCATCGCTGCCAAGAAAGCCCACCACGATAGCAACCCCATTACACAGTGCTGAGATCTACAGATCAAAGATTAAATACCCCCCGGAGGACTTCACATCGTGGTCAATTAAATGGTACTCCTCTGCTAGTACTACATAATGCCTTTCAAGCAGACTAAGGAATGATATCTTTATATATACTTTCTGCAAACCATGATAGCACTTTTACATGTGTAAAAAGGTATGCATCTGAAGCCAAAAGCATGTTAGCTTAGCTTATAGCATAAACACATAACAGGTGGAAACAGCAAAATGTCAAAGTTCTATTTTAACTTAAACTAAATATGCCTTTTCTGGCATATATCTATCTATCTATCTATCTATCTATCCATCTATCCATCTATCCATCCATCCATCTATCCATCCATCCATCCATCCATCCATCCATCCATCCATCTATCTATCTATCTATCTATCTATCTATCTATCTATCTATCTATCTATCTATCTATCTATCTATCTATCTATCTATCTATCTATCTATCTATCTATCTATCTATCTATCTATCTATCTATCTATCTCTCTCTCTCTCTCTACAGTATCAAGGCATGGGTGAGTGTAGCACTGCTGAGTCAGTCATCCATAGATCTAGTCAATTATATACATAATCCCTGTAATGAGATTTCCAATGGTATGGGTGAAACAGTAACCCTGAGGGGCAGGAAGCCGTGCTACATTTCTGTAGAAAAGGCAATCACTGCTGAACAACGCCTTCCCTCCTTTTTCTCTGTTACTCTGCCTCTTCCTCTCTCACTTTATTCTACATTTGCACTTCCTACTCTGAATCACTCCAGACACACTCAAACACAGACACAGAGAAGAGCAGGGGGATAAATAAAAGTGACTCAGAGAAATCGGGAATACACACAGGCTCCAAGTTATGACTCCTACTGTCAAGGGAAAGACACCTTGAAAGTGAAACCCAATCACATGGAGACATTTCCATCCCTCTTCTGGGATGCGTTTCTGACACTTATCGACTTACAGACGCCCACTTCCTATGGCAATAGTTGTTTTTAGCAGTTGATATGCATTGCTTTCAAAGCCGGATTTTTAATATGCTGTGAGATTAATTCCAAGCAGCCTTTTCCTGGCATAACCATTAGCGTTAACCCCCTCCCACCCCCTGACTCCCCTCCTACGCTTGTTGATAGATAATGGTGCTATTCCCTTTGGAGCGGCATCGCATGAAGCACGATCTGTTGAGAAACGTGGGAGGTCACGACTGACACAGCAACCCCTTTCCAAAAAATCCCCAAATGAAGTCAATGAGAGCATAAAACACAGAGCTACACATACATTGTACATTAGGGATAGCATTTCCTGCCATCACTGTATTTAAATACTTAAAGGGGACCTATCATGCAAAATGCACTTTCGTACGTCTTTTATACATGAATATGTGTCCCCGGTGTTCCAGGGAACTCACCAAGTGTCAGAAAACACAACCCTCTCTCTTTTCCTCCATACCCAAATCTCTAAAAACGGGGCTGCAACGGATCTGATACAGACTGATCCAGATTTGAACATTTCTCTGATGTCAGGAGGACGGAGGAGCTGACCTATCAGGGGAATGAGAGGTTGCCGTGGCATGGTAACAGCATGGTAACACGACGCTCGTAACTCGGCCCCCTCCTTTGCAGGGGGGCGTGGTCAGCTGCAGCGCATGCAAAGACAGGGTGGAGGAGAGCAAAATAGAGCAAAATGAGGCATGGCTAAAATGCATGATCTGTTTGGTATTTTGAAAAAGAAAACATATAAATATACCTTATATAGGTATTGCCCTACAATATATTATTCAAATATAGCATGATAGGTCCAGTTTTCCTCTGATTTAAAGAATTTCTTTATGACACGAAAATAAACCCTATCTTTAAATATTCTCCCACAAATTAAAATTGCAGCAATACTTTATTTTTTGTAATATTTCTTTAGGGATTTAAAGTCATATAAGGCGCTATTTTCTTTTAGGTATGTGGAAAATGCTTAAGTTTAATAACAAATGTAGTTAAGCAGGCAACCATGCATTAGGTTGTTTTGGGGGAAATGCTTTAAAGTAATTTTGCATAAGGAAAAGGATGATTTCAGAATGTGTAATTGTGTATGTGTATTTGTGTTTTTATCATTTATCCTATATGTGTGGGTGGGATTTGTCGGTATGGCATTATGTTAGTCGTGACAATGTAATCTGCATATGGTAATTTAAATCATGAATTGATGTGGTTCACTCCATCAATGCAAGTATTTTTGAGAATGTGCATTTGTGTGCATCGTGTGTGTGTTTACGTGTATGTATGTGTGTATGTATGTGTGTGTTAGAGAGAGTGTGTGTGTTTGTGTGCACGTTACAATGATTAATGAGTCTGGGAGATTGCCTGCGGGCTGAGATCAGGTGCAACAAGATTTAACTTAGCAGAAAACACTCAATTCGTTTCCTACACATTCAATTAACCCGTCCCTGTGCACTTCTCTCAGCTCCCTCAGCAGAGCCATGCATCTCCGAGCTTACACATCACTCTGCTCCGGCTGCTGCTCTCGTTTAAAAGCCATCTTTTATTTGCAGCCCTTTTGTGTTCCCAGTACGATTTCTGCTCATATCATTTCAGCACACATACAAATCAGCCTACCAAGTGGCCCAGATCCCCCTCTGATAGGGATATACAGTATTTACATTACACTCAATATTTTTTAGTCACTGCTTCGTCAAAACGTATATTATGTAACAATATATGCTTTGATTATTCCCTGTGAGTTTGGGACTGGCTACAGAAATACTTGAAGGTTTTGCATTAGAGTAAAGCACCAACATATCAGCAAAATAAAAACATGGCTCAAATAATGCAAACATAAATAGGGCTTTAACCCTTAATATTAAATAATCCAAACATTTAAAAAGTACCATAGCATGTTAATTACAAATTAGCAGCATTTGTTAGATAAAGAAAAGTCTTATAGCACTTTGATGTGCCAATATTTTGATTAACATGAGACAATTATCTGTGCTTCAAACATGCAAAATACTTAATTATAACAATATGGCAAATCTGATTAGCCACATCATCAAAAAAGCCTCCATTCAATAAGATTACATCAGACATATGCAGCACATTATATTAACATTGAACACAATACTATTGCAGCAGCGTTTGCAAGAAAACATATTTTAAAATGTTCACTTTCTTCCCTCCCATGTCATCGATCTGATTGTAATTCTTGTTGTGTACCATGGTACAGGTTGGAGTTTCAGCATGGGTTCGGCGTACCAGTTTCACAGCTGGCGGGTGTTTGTGGTCGTCTGTGCTCTGCCCTGTGTGTGTGCGGTGGTCGCTCTTACCTTCATGCCCGAAAGTCCCAGGTTCTACCTTGAGGTAATGTAATTTCCCCTATCTATTACCGGTTAAAAGATAGTTCTCTTTTATCTCTCATGAATCTGCTGCAATAGCTGTATCTTCAATAGTGCAGCCTCATGGTGCTGTGTCATTGTCCCCTAATGTCCGCGCTCATTCCTTTCTGAATCTCCTAGATAATACATCAGTCTTAAGTGTTCTTGGACATTTCCCATCCAATGTTAAATGAGATCAAAAGTGTGAGTGATAAAACTCTGGGAGCAGGTCTTACTGTATGTGTCTTAAAAAAAAGATCTGTGACAGTACTGCTGCTGCATAATAAAACTCTTTGAAGTAAAACGAGTCACCGTTGTCGTGACTTTGATAATTTTGGCCCATCTTGGAGAAATCAAAGGAATAATACTCTTGTACAGTCATATATATGATTGCGGATGTGTCGCTGTCCATGACTAAGCGAGACCATTTCCTGATCCCATGAATGTATCCTCTCTCTTTCCCTCCTGTCAGGTGGGGAAGCATGATGAAGCCTGGATGATCCTCAAACAGATCCACGACACCAACATGAGAGCGCGTGGGCAACCGGAGAAAGTCTTCACTGTGAGTGTTTGCTTCTGCTGTGCGCTGTCTTGGCTGGGTTTCCTGATGCTTAAGGAAAAGCAAAGAGGCTTATGTTCTGCCACCGCTGGGACAGGTTTTAACGCTTTCACTGTGCAGGATCATATCTGAATTATGAAGGTTCTGAAAGCTGTTTTGTGTCGTTCAGGCTTATTTGCGTCGTGAGCTGCATTTTGGGAAAGCCTCTTAGTCAACACGTGTTTCTCCAATTAATCATGTACTGTTTACAATGATTTTTATTACAGTTATGTGCTCTCAATCTAGTTTGAACTAAAGAAAATAAAAAAACGACTCAAGTAACATCCTTCAAAATGTTCCAAATCATCAAAGATGTCAATAAATGAATGTCGAATGCACTTAATGTATTCGTATATCTTTTTCTCTTTTAATTGCTTCCTCAGGTAAACAGGATCAAAATACCCAAACAGCTGGATGAATTGGTGGAAATGGAGTCAGAGTCTCGCAACCGAGTTTCCAAGTTTTTCTTTAGGATAAAGGCTGAAATACACGGGGTAAGTTAATTTTCACTCACTGCCCCTAAACCAAATGTATTTTTTTAAACACATGAAGTCTAATCTGTCTCTCTTTAGATCTATCTGAATCTCATGAAGTGCTTCAACTACCCTATGAAAGAAAACATGACGCGACTGGCCATAGTGTGGTTCACGCTGTCATTCGGGTGAGCTTCCTGTTGATGTCATTAGTGTCTGAGAAAAATCAGTCAAGTCTAATTTCCCTGCCTGGTCTGATATTAGCACTAGCGGCCACATTGTATTTCTGTCATCTTGATCCCTGTGCTGTGCAGAAGTCGCATGGTCTCGAAATCAATCAAAGTCTGTGGATCAATACTGTTCCATTGGTGTCTCAGAGGGAAGAAAAAGGAAGAGGGAGTAAAAGCAGCTAGAGATTAAAAAACATCCACAAAACACTCTCTGAAATCAAAAGAGTCTATTGTTTTTTTCTACTGCGTCTGAAAGCAGTGTTTGAACCTTAGATCAAGATTACATTACATGTTACTTGTTAGACGCTTTTATCCAAAGCGACTTACATACTCAATACTGTGGGCAATACCCACAGGAACAATTTGAGGTGAAGTGTCTTGCCCAGGGACACAACGACATGCTGACTGCAGTGGGGTTTGAACCTGTGACCCCCTGATCTGAACACCAAGGCTCTATCCACTGCGCCACACGCCTCCTTCTTCAGGAGATTCTTCAACATTTATCCAAAGATTTATAACGTCCTGTATATGTTGTGGTTGCAGGTATTATGGTCTGTCAGTCTGGTTCCCTGATGTCATCAAACACCTTCAGGCAGATGATTATGCCTCCAAAGTGAAGATACACAGTGATGAACGTATTGAAGACTTCACCTTCAACTTCACTCTGGAGAACCAGATACACAAAAACGGACTCTTTATCAACGACCGGTAGGACAAGTCAACTTGTGGATATATGGACTGTTTTACAGTGAAAGTACGTACAAACAGGATGTAAATGTGTTTTTTTTATTTCAGATTCATCAATATGAAGCTGAAGTCCGTCACATTCATTGACTCTACCTTTCGTAACTGCTACTTTGATGATGTGAAATCTGTGGGCTCCTTCTTCCGTAACTGCACTTTCATTGATGCTTTCTTCTACAACACTGGTGAGATATAAGTATTAAATATTCCTAACTTTTCTAAATCGACATGACTATACAGTTGAGGAGGATTTATTTTCCTGATTCTCATATTCATCAGGTTAAATTGTGTCTTGGTGAAACAAGATGACAATATACTGCGTTGTGATTGGCTGTGTTTTATTATTTCCAAATGTCTTTTTTTGTATTCTTTGTCAGACATTGATGAAAGCAAGTTGATAGATGGCACAGAGGTAGTCAACAGCACGTTCACTCACAACAAGAAAGGATGCCAGATGACATTTGATGATGACTACAGTGCCTACTGGGTTTACTTCATCAACTTCCTCGGGACGCTAGCTGTTCTGCCCGGCAACATTGTGTCCGCGCTTCTCATGGACAAAATTGGCCGTCTGTCCATGTTAGGTAAGAACGGAGCGAAGAGGGAGGTTCATGTTTCATGTGTGCACTTGAGTAATTGGGTTTCACATTGACTGCGGGATGTTGGAATGATTTATGGTATGGATGTGGCATCCATCATTGCGTATGAGAGGCAATTTTGATTAGGCCTATAATTCAGTTGAACATTGTTCAAACGAATGTCGCTTGCACTAACTCTTGCTCCTTCACTCTTGCTTTGTGTGTGTTTTTTTGTCTCTCAGGTGGCTCCATGGTGCTTTCGGGTATCAGCTGTTTCTTTTTGTGGTTCGGCACCAGTGAGTCCATGATGATTTTTATGTTGTGCCTTTACAACGGCCTGAGCATCTCTGCCTGGAACTCCCTGGATGTCGTCACCACTGAGTCATTCCCTACTAGCAGGAGGTGAGAAGACAAGAGTATATACTGACTTACGTATTTGTTGAGACTTGTTTATGGACTTATACATACATGCATGCAGTAGTGGAAAGAGATAATCATAAAAAAAGAGGTGATTGAGTCAACTCTAACACCTTTCTATCTCTTTTCTCTTCCTTTACCTCCTGTCCCTGACTCTCCACCCCACAGAGGAACAGGCTTTGGGTTCTGCAACGCTCTCTGCAAGCTGGCTGCAGTCTTGGGAAACCTGATTTTCGGTTCTCTTGTTGGCATCACAAAGTCCATCCCCATCCTCATGGCCTCGTCTGTGCTCGTCGGGGGAGGCCTGGTTGCACTCCGGCTGCCTGACACCAAGTCGAATGTCCTCATGTAACACCAGCTTGGCGTTCATCAGCTGGGAGAAAACCTAAATAGAACTTGGGTGAATCCGAGAGGAAGCCCAGGGAGCGTTGAGCAAGGAATGCAAATGGCTTGGTTCACACATATCTTAACATTATTCATGCAATTCGCTACTGTACCTAGGGTAAAGCTGAACCCACCATTCTCACAGTGTGTTTTACATTGATCATATACATCTACATCAATTCCTAGTTAGTCAATGCTAAGTTCAGCCTTTCTGTGAATGTGTTTTTAGGAGATTTCACAGACAGAGCTGAGTGTTTGCTCATGTTTTGGGCGAACTTTGGTGGAGTTTTGTTGCAGTGACTGGTTGCCCTTTTCCAGCTGCAGCCATAACCTTGTGTGGAGTCACTGCATGGTTAAGGCTCAAGGCTTTCAATATTGATACAGTCTTATTAAGACAAGCCAGATGGGGAGAAAAGTGAAAAACAAGCTGTAATGAGCACAGCCAACCTTGTGTGACAACGTGGGGAATAGATGATCAGACAGAGCGGACACACGACACAGCTGTACGACAGCTGGCTCGCCGCAACACTCTTCCACAGGAAGCGTTGTAGACGGTGTGCAGAAAGTCAATAATAAAAAATCCAATAAATTAATGTCACACATAGTTCATGTGCAAAACATCTCTTAAAATAGACTGGTACCCACATGTACTGTACCTACATCTTTTTCCTATGCTTATACAAGAAACTGTTTTGCTTGACATGACATTTACTCTGACATCTGCAACCTTTTCAAAATAGATATCTTCTGTATGATGCCAAGCCCTTTGCATTACCTACCCAACAAAGAATCAAAAAGGCCATATTGAAAAACTTTATTTTCTGGTACTAATAATTGTGTGGTATTTTGAATCCGAGGTTGCTAATTTTATTTTCTGCTTTTTATTATTGTGGAAGTTGAAATAATGAATTATTAATTTAATCCAAATGTTGTTACTCCAAGTACCGATCCATGTGTTGTATTATTGTACGAAGGCTCTCTGATGAGCTCTCCCTCTGATTTCATTTTGTGTTATTGGATCTTGCTTGTGGCAGTGACGTTGATAATGACATGTCACGCTGCTTCCTTTTAAAAATACTGAATGGCCTTTTATGAAATGTGCCTCTCCTTAACTGCAGCAGTCTGCCCAAAGGTTGTGAGGAACAGACAGAAACTGAATAGGAAGAAAGTACGTTAAATAATCATGCCAATTTCTGTGTGTATATATGTGAAATATAAGGACGATTTTATTTGGGTGTGAATCCATTTGCGAGTGTCCTTTGTTAAACATCCCCATTTAAAATAATACAGGTATTAGGTAAGATCAGCGTACTATGCTCCTGAAAAAACAAACAATAGTTCCTATAGGTAACAATGAACCATAACATGATCAAATGGTGTAAGTTACAGAGAATTACTACAAATTAATAATGTAAATAAGATCCACCTCTTTATGAGAGCTAATTGGTGTCAACCATGATTCTCCGGAGGAAGATAAATTCAACTCAAATGATGCTTACATTTGAAGATAAAAAAACACACCAGATGACACATTTTAGCTCTGTCATACCAACATTTTTGTCTAAAATCTATTTTTGCCATAATCTTACGTTTAAAACCATGACCTACCTTGTACTAGTTGTTAAGTACCTTATATTTTAACATTGGAACCTCAATGTATACTGCAAAGATAATGATCTTAGACCAGTGCTACTTTGAAAGTGTCAAAATACCTCTAACATTTTCAATTGAAATTTAAATTATTTAGATATATATAACATAATACCATATGATTTCAGTATTTTTGGAACAAAGATATAGCAAAAATATCTAATAAAATGTGCTGATATAAAACATGACTTTAGCTCAGTGGCAATCCAACGCGAGATTAACAAGAATAAGTATTATCAATAACAGAAGTATTGATCTGTATTTTTCTGAATGAGATAAAACCTTAATTGGTGACAGATCTACCTGTGGTGTTATATTGGGGATAAATGATTTTACCTGGTATGTTTCAGGTACTTGGGTTATTGCTGTACTGTATTTTGTGTGTGTGTGTGTGTGTGTGTGTGTGTGTGTGTGTGTGTGTGTGTGTGTGTGTGTGTGTGTATGTATGTATGTATGAGAGCATATTGTATATGTGTGTTTGTGTAGAGCAGAGTATAGGGTGCATGAGTGTAAATAATGTACATATTAAAGCTGATATTGGTGGACTTCTGGGTTATATGTGTATAAGCTCCTTGATCGAGTTATGTGTCTCCTTCTTTGTCCAAGCCATAAATCCATCAACTGTATCTCTGTTGTATCTCTATGTGTCCTTGGCTTTAAGCCACTATTCACCTGCTACTCCGTGTGTGTGTGTGTGTGTGTGTGTGTGTGTGTGTGTGTGTGTGTGTGTGTGTGTGTGTGTGTGTGTGTGTGTGTGTGCGTGTGTGTGCGTGTGTGCAAAAACGTGCATGTATGTAAGAAAACTTCTGTTCTTGTGTGCTCAACTTTGTCTTCTTTGTGTGAATTCTTCTGGCAGATAATTATGGCAATATTCAGATTTTTTGTTGAGGAAAAATGTGAATGTATCACTCTTGTAAGTTTCTCATCCATTTTATGGAGGTAATCAAATGTATGTGGAGAATAAAGTTGTGTATATTATTGTGAAGGGCCTGCCAGTCATAAAATGACTGAGCTGTATGTTGAAAGGTCCATAAGTGTGAAAATATGTGAAGAAATATTTGCCAAATGATGCCCTGTGAATTATGTTATTTGATTGGAGAAGCAGGGATTGCAGACTGTGCTGCTTTTGAACATATATTCAATACAATAAAAGCTATGTTCTCTAGCAAATTATGCCAGGCTTTGATTTCACAACTCTTGTCTCTAACCTAAGAATAAAATGTGTTTATAAATCACATTACTGCACTTACATGATGAGGCATTTGCACCGAGATCCAAATGTGAGTCTCAATTATGCATTATTTGAATAAAACAATATCATTTAAATGTAAAATTGTGCAAACACATACATAAGGCAGTCTAACCTCATTTGTGCTCTCAGTAAACCAGGTCGTTGAGTGTAAGGACATGCCCCAAAACACACCCTGAATACTGTTCCCTGTGGTCAATATTATCTAACTAATGCTGCCATCGAGTGGACAAATTATGAAATGGAAATGATAAAGACAATAATAATAATACTGTGACACTGGGTTAATTTATACAAATAGGTGTTTTTATCGAGTTAGATAACATAATTTGTAGAATATATATAAATGTGGAAGCCTTTCATTTAATCAAAACGTATTTTAAATGGCCATTTATCGTCACCCATAGGCCACATTTATTTGTTTTGTTCATGTTGGCCACACCTGCCTCTAAATGGAGGCACTTTGGACTTTAACTAAGGGTTTTTATTCAATGACACTTTTAATTTTAACTTCCACTTCATTTTGGAGCCAATGTTGTACTTTACTCCACTATCTTTTTCTGAAAGCTTTAGTTACTTTACATATTCAGAATAATAATACACATTTTAAATCAACTAATAATTAAAGTATTATATGGGATTTAAAACATACAGATGCAGTGTATAAAGTAATTAAAATAAGGTCCTCCAGCAGCTGTGATGAACATATGAATGCATTAATAATTATATTCCAGTTATTTCATAAATATGACTGTAAAATGGGGCATTATGCTAAACAAGAACTTATACTTTTGGTACTTCAAGTGTATTTTGATGCCAAAATCAATCAAATCAATTGTCCTTTTAATTAAGTTACATTTTGAATGGAGGACTTTCACTTGTAACAGAGTATTTTTTCAATCTAGTATTGAAACTTTTACTTAAAATCTCAGTAGTTTTTACACCACTGGATATGAATACAGTAGTCCCCCTTGTGGCAGTAGGTCTATAAGATATACGATTTACTTTATTGATCCCGATTTGGGAAATGTTTTCATCACAGGCATTGCACATAATGCGAAAACGAAAAAGAGTAGAAAATAAACAACCATAAACATAAAATATTTAAAAATATTTAAAAAACTGAACATCTATGTACTCTGTCATATAAACACTATGAAGGGCCATATAGCCAACACCATGTAAAAGTCGGATATCATTTAATATACAATTAAATTACTAAATGCAGCACGAGCCACCTCATGTCCAGCAGGTGGTGCACGGGGCTAAATCTCACCTGTCAATCATTTCAGTCAGACCGTTGCCGGGAAAAGATAAGGCACACACACTTTGTTCAGGCCGAAGAAGTGCACATCATGGGGATTGTCTGCCGCAAGTGACAGTCGGCGCTTTCATGTAACTTCTGAAGAAATTCGAACCATATTTCCAGCTTATGTTTCCAGTTAGTTAACGACACAGCGTGTTTTTCTTTATTGGTATCAATATATCCCGAGAGGCGCGGCATACCGCTGTCACGTTAGCTTGTAGGTGAAGTTATTTCTAGGGCAGAAGACTTCACGAGTGGAGGAAACGACGCAAGATGTACCATGAAGAAACCGCAGCTCTACAAAAGCCACGCTATGGAAGTAAGTTATGTTTCAAGCTCTGTTAAACATACTGTGTTTGCTTGGTTATGAGAGGCAAGGGTTGAATGCAAGCTAACGTGAGGGACGTTTGAGCAACAGGTGGTTTTGAAGCACCTTGATACCTGTAGTGTGTCAATATAGCAAAAATAGGCATGAAATGTGTAGCCTGAGAGGAAATAAACTGTCAATGAAAGAGATTCTTAGGGGAAGGACTTGTATCCTGCTTGTTAAATTCAAGCCAAAACAATGATACGTTCAAGGTTTAGGCTGTATGTTGATTTTAAGATTGACTCAGAACGATTTCAATTGTATTTCCCCCTTCTTCTCCTAACTACACCACAGGGATTTTGTTATCTATTTGTTTAATGGTTGCAGCTAGCATATCAGCCTGTCTACACATAAGCATTTTCTCATAGGTTACCCATTAACCAGGGTTTTTGCTTTTGTTGAGCAATCTATAACTAGCTACATTAGTATGTTAAGAATGTAAGTGATACACAACACATACAGTCTGCAAACCAAGTCAGAGTTACCAGGTATCTTGTCACTGACCAACAGCTGTGGGCAAAGTGCAACCCTGAGAGATAACACCAATCAATTATGTCATCAGTGCAATCTTTTTGACTCTGATTTTTACTGAACAACTCTTGAATTATTCTGCATACAGGCCACTATATCTTATGCTGCGTTTATAGATACATGTTGTGCTAGAAATGTGAAACCTAATGAGGTGTGACCCTTGAAAAGCACTCGCAATGAGTCATTTTTGTCAAACATTGTGAAAAAACCACACTTTAATTTGCTGGCCTTGTCATTGTGTGAAACAAGCCAAATGTGTCCTAAGGGTTTTAAGTGCTGTTATGGTACTAAAGCAAAGTCATTCACTGAAATATTTTTAATAAATGTCAGACTACCCGTAGTTTATGGATTTGCCTATAAAATGGACAAACCCAAAGGCAAAGTCAGTTTTAATATGTGCTTCCTCTTTCCCCCCCTGTATGAGACATAATCATGGAGGCCATAACTTAGGTCTGGTGATCCTGTGACACACAAAGGCAACAACCCCATCCTGAGGGTTAAATATAAAGCTTAGTGCAAAAGTGCAGACAGGCTCTTCCAGGAAGTGTGTAAGCGAGCCAGTGGAGGTAGTGTGTGTGTGTGTGTGTAACGGCTGCACTGAGGCTGTTCTCCCCCTGAGATATGTGTGTGTTCATACACATCTGCATCCAGCTGGGCCACTAATCTATGGTTGGATGTCCAGATTCTGAGTGTGTGTTTTGGATTGTTTCTCTTCTCACATGTGGGTTTAATACCTCTGTTGAGACCCAGTGAACGGATGTATACGCAGGTGGCTGATAAATAGGCTGAATTTAACAGAGCGCTTGAGAAGTGGGACTTAAATGTCCCTTTGGGGGAATTTGTTTTGGACTCCATATGCATTGCAGTTCCAGAAGAAATAAACAACATATACAATTTACAGCGATAAAATGCTACAAAAGCCACTAAGGAATTGAAGCACAGCGCTAAATATGAATTACAGATCTTACTGTTTGTAGAATATCGTAAACAGCAGAATTGGCTTAATATATTGTGACTATTTCAAAACGTACTAAAAGGGCTGTAAATCATGATTATGGTTAAAATCATAATCATTTAAAATGAATATTGACTGACAATTATTTATCAGAATTATTCATTGATGTTTAGGGACAACATATTGTTATTGCACTAACACATTTAAAGGTGGGGTAGGTAAGTTTGAGAAACCGGCTCGAGATACACTTTTTGTTATATTCCATGGAATGCTCTTAACATCCCGATAGCAATGAATATCTTAAGTGCTTTGACAAAAAATCCATGAAAAAATGTCATCTGTGGAAGCCGTAGTACTGTATAAAGCACGACCAATCATTTTAGCCGGCCCGGCTAAAATAACTGGATGGCCTACCTGCCTGTCAGCCTTCCATCTGTGCACAAACTTATCTCGTGCCCTCATTGGTCATGTGCGCGTTCATGTGTGTTGGAGGAGGGGCTCTGTAAGGAAGTGGCAGATTTTCTCTGGTTGTGTATTTTCAAATTCTACGCACTCGAGCTGGTTTCTCCGAAATTACCTACCCCACCTTTAAATGAATGGAGCTGTTGCTTGTACTTCTTCTTGTTCATATTTACATCTAAATAAGATTGGTTTTATTTACCTCCTAGAAATATAAATAAAAACCTTTTCCACATTTAAATCAACAGAGCAGTGCTTTCCCTTTGACGTTGTGCTACGTTTCTGCTCATTAACACGATTTAGCATAAATATAAGACTTAAAAATGAGATTCTCCTTCATCTGAATTCTGTGAACTCACCCTCTGTTTTGCTCCTCTGCTACTATTCTACTCTGGACTGCAGCGGTAGCTTTAACGGAGCATCCTTTATGGTCAATATCACTTTCAATCATGTGTGAAGAAATGCGGGAATCCACAACTGTGATCAGGATTGGGATTAGATTGTTTAGGCTGATCATCAGGTTTTAAAGTTTAACAGGGCATCCCAAGAGGCAGTAGGCTAATATTCATATAACCAATGTGGACAGATAGAAGATAGACTGACTAACTCTGACTCATGTGTATACAGTATGTGTATTTTTAGGTGCTGTTTACACGGGAACGAAACGGGTTGTATCCGCTACTTTTCTCTTTCGTATAGCCCGTTCGTTCACACGAGGCCGTAACGGAACTGCGGAAACGGACCCCTCAATCGATAACGGGTCCCAAGGTGGATAGATCTGCGGACGGAACGCTCTGAGGAGCCAAACGGCTCCGTGTGTACGTCCTATACGATCATTTTCCTGATAACGATGAAGCCATAGCCCCGCCTCTCCCCACCTCGGCTGCTCACTGCTGTAGCATGGTCAGTAGCTACTGCTACTGCTACTGACCATGCTACAGATGTTAGTGCAAAATCTACAGCTCCTCTACCACAACCATCAGCAACAAGTGGACATGGAGAACTACATGAACTACATGTTGCTAAATCCACCGTGGAAAATAAACAGAAGGGCAACCAGGCAACCATGGCAACCATGCTCGGCGGGGGGGGTCTTCTTCGCTGCTTTTGGTGTATTTTGTGGCGGAAGTACAGCGCCACTTACAGGCCCGGCATTTGTACTACAGCGTCTCCAGCGGGTCGAGCGGTCTCGTGTAAAGGGACACATTTATTGAGCCGTATCCGTGTGAACGGAAGACTTTTTTTGATATCGAATTCGGTTCGTTTCGTTTGCGTTTGCGTTCCCGTGTAAATGGGGTCTTAGTCTAGTCTTGCTTGATGTCCTCCTCCCTGATACAGAATGTGATACCTCAGGTGCTAGCCTCTACTCAAACCCAGTATATGGTGTTTGGTCTAGTGTGTGAAAGCTCTGTTCTTAAACTGAGCCTCCCTGTTTGAGATTGTCCCTTCACTCAGACAGAAATAAAGGGATTTGATAGGATTAGAGCAGGGGTAGGAGCGTCGGGGGGAGGAGATCTCTTTAAGCTGCAGGTAAAGGTCAACTCAGCAGAAGTCACTTGTCTGTGGAGCACCCCACTCAGGTCACTTTGACATGGACATTTCTTTCCTCTCAAACAAAGGCTCATTGGAGCATGGGATGAACTTCAGTTTCCAAGAGGCACTCAAGATCCTAGCTGTCAAAATCAACAGTCGGTAACAAAAAATATCCTTTGTGAAGTTTTAACACCAAAGTTTGAAATGCACCTGCTGTGCAGCACATGTGCCATGCCAGTGTAGTTGCTTAAAGAGGACATATTATATTTCAGGTTCATATTTGTATTTTGTGCCTCTACTGTGACATGTTTACGTGCTTTAATGATTAAAAAGGGTCTTTATTTTTCTCATACTGCCTTTTTCTGCAGCACCTCTTTTCACCCTCTGTCTGAAACCAGATCCCGGTCTGCTCTGATTGGTTAGCTTGCCGGCTCTGTTGTGATTGGTTAACTACTTAGACATGTCCCGCCCCTTAGCCTTATCACGTACAATGTGTTGGAGCGCTAACCAATAGAAGCGCAGGTGTTAAGCAGTGATGTCCCTTTGTTGCGAAGTAAACAAAGGAGTCCACCTATAAGAACCTATAAAACACACTACAGGAAGGGACAACTCAGAAAAGAATAATAGGGCCTCTTTAACACCTGAATTAAGCATCAATTTTTTTTTTTTTTTACTTCAGTAGCTCATCTCATACTGTACTTTTGATGTCAGTCAAGTCAACAACTTTCTGTGCAGAGGAGATTCTTTGCAATCAATGAGTATAAAATGCTGAGTGCAAATTGTTGAAGTGTATCTTGTTCTCTTTGCTGTATTGTGTTAGGAGTGTTATTTCTTTCTCCGCCTTGTAATGTTCGTGTATTTTATGAATGAGCTGTGTAATGTTATCTGTGTCAAGATATCTTACTTAAAGGAAACCTATCATGCTATATTTAAATGATATATTGTAGGGCCATACCTATATAAGGTATATTTATACGTTTCTGTTTTCAAAATACCAAACAGATCATGCATTTTAGCCATGCCTCATTTCGCTCTATGTGTTGTTTGCTGTTTACGGGTCTGATTTTGTGAGCTGCAGCTGACCACGCCCCCCTGCAGGAGAGGGGAGCCGCTCTGATCAGCTGCTGGGCTGTCAGAAGAGGGGGAGAAAAAGAGATCTCCGTCCTACGTGTTTTATTATAGCCTATATAGAGTCGTTATTCATTTGTTTTAAAGCTCAATAAATAACAAAGAAGACCTTTGACCGGCACTTTTCTAATTTTGTCTGGAAGATTTAAACTTTAACGGACATCTTGACCGGCGAAAGAAACTGAAACTGAAACTCTGCCGCACGGTCCCCTCGTTCCTTGGAAGAGGCGGAGAGGTGGGTGTTTGTCATCTGCTGGTGGACTAACAGGAGAGAATTACAGTGCTTGCCTCGACGGGGAGGGATTGCATTGAATTAAAGCAGCGGGAGCAAACGCTTGCCTCGGGGAGGGAGAAAGAAAGCCACAGCGGAGAATAAACAGAAGGGTAACCATGGTAACCAAGTCTTCTTCGCTGCTTTTGTGGCACACTACAGCGCCACTTACAGGCCTGGCATATGTACTACAGCGTCTCCAGCGCTTTCGAGCAGCAATGGCCGGCCGTGGCCCAACCCCACATTCCCCTGATAGGTGGAGAGTTGGCCCAATAGCCGTAGCGCCACCGTCCTGACGTCAGTAAAGTGTTCAAATCTGGATCAGTTTTTATCAGATCCGTTGCAGCCCCTTTTTTAGAGATTTGGGTATGGAGGAGAATAGAGAGGGTTGTGTTTTCTGACACTTGGTGAGTTCCCTGGAACACCTGGGACACATATTCATGTATAAAAGACGTACAAAAGTGCATTTTGCATGATAGGTCCCCTTTAATATGAAACAAGCCCAAGTAATTGTGGATGACTGATGCAGGTCACATGGTTTTGGACACTGCACTGGCTGATGTTGAAGCGATGTGATTCATATGAGGCTGAGCTATAACTCAAAATAAACATTTATTGACGTTCTGTTTCTGATGTCCAAATTAATAAAGCATTCATTTGAAACCAACACAATACGTTTTTTTATATTTTCTTTATACGTTTTAAAGGTTTAGTCTCATGTAAAGAATGACACAGGTTATGTGATTTTCTTTTTATTTGCCATATTGTGATATTTCAATAACATAGACTATACTTATCATGATAGTAATTTTTCTCAGCCCTATTCTCACTGTTTCCATTTGTAAAAAGACCAGAAAGAAAGCACAACACACTAGTATGTTCATTCATTGTTTCATCTGCATGCCTTTTCCAGCCATCCAGGACGACGAGAGGCTGTCGGCGGAGGAGATGGATGAGAGGAGACGACAGAACATCGCCTACGAGTACCTGTGTCACCTGGAGGAGGCCAAACGGTAAGACAGGAGGACGCTGACTCCAACAGGAAAGGGAAAAAACCTTGAAGATAAGAGCAGCTTAATGGCACATAGTGACTAAAGGCAATCCTTCATAGTGTTTACTCTGTCACAACTCTCACAGCTCAGAGGAATGATTTTGGGAGTGTTGTTGGGTCAAGCATTAGCTTTGTTTGATGTTTGATCCGGTAGAAAAGTTTTGTATTGTACGTCTGTGTGTTTAATGACCATCGTTATGCAGATCTCAAAGCAGGGAGTGGTTGTGGACGGAGGAGGGAAAGTGAGAGGAATATAATAGATAAGCAGTGTGTAAGTTTTATAGTAGCATAGATAGAGCGGCAATGAAAGGTAGGAATCAGCAGATGATGACGAGGAGTTGTAAGCATTCACGAGAACGTGTTTGATTAGGCATGGGAGGTGCTGACTTAGTGGAAATGGTGCCTCTCTTTCCACTGAGCTCTCACCCTCAGTGAAATTATCAACCAAGAAAAAACTAGAAGGCTTATTGATACCTTCCTCAGTATGTTTAGTAAATACTTTTATAATAATGGCTTGCAATGATTCCCACCATAATCTTACAAGCTAAACATACGAAACTTGATAAAGACTCTTTTTTTTTTTTTTTTCAAAACTAAACCACTTCCTGTCTTCTTAAAAAAGGGCATCCAGCTGAGCAGGAAGTGAAATCATGCCTCCTTTAACGCACAGCTTTTGAAACAACCCCGCCCAGTCACAGAAAGATTGGTTTCCAGATTGAATTATTGATGTTTGTAACAGAATGTAGCATTCTGGAGCCTTGTTGTGGTTCAGCAGTCATGCCTCTTGTAGGCACACTCTTTGTAAGACACTTTATAGGAGTGTGTACAGCCTCATTTACATCAGCATTTCCTGACAGATAATAGTTTCACAACTGAACTTGCACTTTGACTCAGTTATGAATATTTAAATAGCCTACATCTTCTTCTTATGTCACTAGATAATAACGGTCTAGAAAGGTGAGGCAGGCTTGAATAAACAAGCAGAGATTCGGTTGTCCATCATCATTGAGCCATACGTAGATAATCACTCATCTTTTGTGTGCTGAAGAAGACTTGTTGAAGCGTAGCTCAGTTGCACTGCGGTGGTTTAAGGAACACGTGCTCTACTATCATTGTGAAGGCAACCTCAAAAGGACCACTACTGTATTTAACTCTCTGATACACACATGCTCACACTTTCACTTTTTTACTTCCTGTTATTTCTCCCCAGTGCTACTCACTTTTCTTCAGTCCTGTTTATTGTGGAGTGGAACCTCTATTCTGGGAAAGTTGTCAAGTTGGATTAGGATTAAGGCGCTGTTTACACGGGAACAAAACGGGTTGTATCTGCTACTTTTCTCTTTCGTATAGCCCGTTCGTTCACACTAGGTCGTAACGGAACCGCAAAAACTGTCCCTTCAATCGATAACGGGTCCCAAGGTGGATAGATCTGCGGACGGAACGCTCCGGGGGGCCAAACGGCTCCGTGTGTACGTCCTATACGATCATTTCCTGATAACGATGAAGCCATAGCCCCGCCTCTCCCCACCTCTGCTGCTCACTGCTGTAGCATGGTCAGTAGCTACTGTAAGCAGTAGCTGCTGTCAGTAGCTACTGCTACTGACCATGCTACAGATGTTAGTGCAAAATCTACAGCTCCTCTACCACAACCATCAGCAACAAGTGGACATGGAGAACTACATGAACTACATGTTGCTAAATCCACCGCGGATAATAAACAGAAGGGCAACCAGACAACCATGGCAACCATGGCAACCATGCTCGGGGGGTCTTCTTCGCTGCTTTTGGTGTATTTTGTGGCGGACGTACAGCGCCACTAACAGGCCCGGCATTTGTACTACAGCGTCTCCGGTGGGTCGAGCAGTCTCGTGTGAACGGACACGTTTATTGAGCCGTATCCGTGTGAACGGAAGACTTTTTTTATATCTAATTCGGTTCGTTTGTGTTCTCGTGTAAATGGGGTCCAAGACAGCTGCATACAGAGCGGTGGGATTAGGTTCTGCTCTCAGGAGTCACTGCAACAAGGCAACCATGCAGAAGTAACTCTGTTAGTACACCTGGGTTATGAATGATATTACAAGAGACATAGCTTCATTATCCACCTTTGTTTTTTATATATCTGTAAAATATCAGAACTGACCGAGAAACGCACTTGAGTGCAGGAGTTTGAAAAAACGTCAAATGAACCGGTGCAGAAACGGCATCATACATCAAGTGTCCTGCTGCACTAAATAGTACAAAAGGTCTATCATGTATTATTTTGACAGTGAACATGCAGGTAAATATTCCTGTTTTCTTAACTTTGTAATCGTTTTTGCTGAAACACATTTGAGTTAACTCATATTTCTGCTTTAATAGTATGCTAGACGGCAAGGGGATTGTTGTTTCAAACTCGCAGATCCCACTCACATCGTTTTTGACAGTGATATTATTTAAAAAAAGATCAATTTCAATCTGTACTGCAACATTGTTATAGGCCTTATCCACAGCAGAGATCTGGACTTCTCACAGCAGGAAAAGCACATTTTAACATTAACAATGTCCCAGTACGCCGTGACGGTGTGACAGTGAGACAGCATGCACATCACCAGGAGATTCAAACTCGAGAACAGACATTACAATTCATTCAAATATTTGTAATTTTAGTCAAAATATCTTGGGTGAAATAGGACACAATGTAGGAAAGCCCCTGTCCAGTTTCTCTTAACAAAGTCGTACAAAATCTGATTTAAAAACTAAAACATTTATGAATATAAACAGAAAAGAGCTGTTTCAATTCAAATATCCTCACTAACAGCCGTGTGTTGAATGACATTATCTCAGTGCAGGTTAGTTATAATAGTGCATGCAAGACTATTTTGATATAATGTCACATGAACTGTCATATTTGCCCAGACCAGAGTTCTTTACATGGTGGATTGCCCACATGCTTTGCTGTTCAAAGTCCTCTTTACTGCACATTAAAGAGAGCGAAATGATCCGTATTGATGTCGATGTGCTCAGTTTATAGACACACCTTCCTACAAAAGATACAAACGTATTCAGTAGTTAGAAGTTTCTGGAACAGACTTTGTGCCATCCTAGAAGTGTAAACACTTAATGGATTTTTGTAGCCTTTTTGGATGGTAACTCTTTTTGTTTGCTTTTACAAGCCCCAGGATATCTATCATGTGTTCTTTAGTCAAGGATATTATCCTTATTTTCCGACACACCCTACCCCACCACATATGCAAAATGTCTCTTTTTAGAAACCCACACAAACACAAACTCATGACCAGCATGACTGGGCTACATGACGCAAGCATTCAAAAGACGCTCTGTATGCAGTCAGAAGAGCTGTGGCCGAAAGCAAATAAGTGTTATACAGTATTCATAATAACGTGTTGATGTGGGATGGATTTAAGTCCCACAGTCCTCAAAGCTGCGTTTTGTTTGCTCAGATTGGACAATGACAGGAAGGCCAGCTTTAAAGGGTTGTAAACAGCAGTCTGTCCTGCTTCAGGAGACACGTTGTCCCCACATTGTTTTAAGAACAGGAAGTGAAGTTTCACAGGAGAGCTCATGCAGGATGTTCCTTTGACTGTGTTCCTGCCAAACATATACTTATTTTAATCTTAGTTATCTTGACTTTTATCTGGGTTTGATCCCCTCCTTTTAAGTGACTTCTATGAAGAAATGAAAGTTGAACATTTCCAACAAGTCATGTGGATTTTGATCTGCGTCACTGCTTAGCCTTGGTTGACCTCAGCCACTATGCCTTGTTGTGTGCATATCTGTGTGATGGCACTAGGGGTGAAAGGAAAAATCAATACACTTGAGTTTTGCGAGACTATGCTTTGTGATACGGTATCAATCACTGTACTGATTTTTATTTAATGGTTTGCATGTCTGTGGCAGAGAGCGGTTCATTTGGTGTTTAATATTAGAGGGACTGGGAGAAATTCAATATGCACATATGTTATGATTGCATTCACTGCATACACAAAATAACTTGTTTTCTAACCGAAAGTGTACGCATACAGCAGTGTTCTTCATATTAAGGTAGTTTTCCTAAAATGTAATTCAAAACAAAAGAAAATCATTGTGATATATTCATTTATCTTGTCAATACAGAGCCACAGTGTGAATGCATGCTTGTCTTTATCAGTTTAACACTCATTTTGTGTCTGCAAGTTGAAGGTTCAGTAATATTTATAAACCAGCAGCACCTGGCAGATAACAGGCCAACACATGCCTGTTTGGGATTACTAATGGATGACTGCTTCTATTAGTTAAGACTACAATTAATTTCCTGATCAATTAATTTAAAGAATATAGTCTTAGTGGCCAGGGTGACAACCTAACCCTAACCCTAACCCTAACCCTTAAAAACTGAAAAAGGTTTAATTTGTTTAGAATAAATACAATAGGTTTAACCCTAACCCTATTTCTCAGAAAGAATCAGCTTATTCCACTATTTGCAATATTACCCCCTTTATGGTTTACAATAGAAGTTATAGTACATAGAAAATGCAGTAACTATCTGTCGGCTTATTTCCATTCATTTAAACACTGAAGTCTGTCTGAAGTTTCCTTCTGGCCAGCTCTAAAGTATCAGCTTGTTACGAGGTGTTCTATTCCTCCGAGTGCTTAACCTAACCTCTCCACTGGGTTTGTTTTGACAGTGCATGATGTGTTGTGGTTGTCCTTTTAATGTGCTGACACATTATAAGGCAGACTGGGTCCTTTGAGCACCCACACGGCCTTAATTAACCTAAACAAGGTGTCTGTGTGCACGCCTGTGGGAGGGAAGGCTGCACTGCTGGCACAGAGAAAAGAAGGAGTTGCTGGTGTGAATGAAACCCTTAACATGAGGAAGCTAAATCACCGAGCGCTGTCCACTGGCTTTCTCAGAGGATTTATCTAGCTGTGGGATGATAGTAAATGATGTTAGCATGAAATCAATTCCAGGCAGTAAGATAATGTATAACAGATTTTCCAACTTTGATGATTCACCCTGCTCACAAATCATTTACTTTGGAATACATTGCACTTTGGAATAGATTTTTCCAAACATGTCTGGGCTCTGAAGCAGCTCTTGTAATTATCAAGGGGAAATGACATCAGCTTGAAAGAAGGTCAACATTCTGCATTATTCGCTGAAAATGCTCTATTGAGTTTTAGTCTCTAACTATTTCAAACACCTCTGTGATTGTCCCTGGTTGGGATCAAAATCACATTTTCTCACAGAAATGAAACTCATGACCCTTCACCAGTGATCAATTTTGGCTTTGGACTAATTATATTAGTGTTAGACATCTTGCTTACTGATCACACCTTTAACCTCTCATTATCCTCTCAACAAATAAACCTAACCTTTTCCTATTATCGTCCAACAGCTCATACTGTCGGTCTGTCCACAGCACCTTCCTAAAGCATCCTGGGCTCAATGTGGGTGTATAAAATAAAAACAACCCATCAGTTAATTCAAGTTGCACTGGCACAATTCATAAATATTGTACATTAATACATTATACCAGTTATAATATAACTTTGTGTGTTCTTGGCCCACTGTCTTCAGTCCTTGCCTGGATCTGAAGGGCAGCAGGTGTAGGAAAAGCCAATATTGACTGGCTGACTGCATGCAGGCATTCAGCCACCTCATAAATTGCACTGCACCCTGTAGTAGACCTCAGGTGGCGGAGTAAACATGACTGATGTTTGTTTACACTCTGATCGTAACCATAGTCCTGGTGATTAACTGGAAACATATCGAGTCACCTAGAAGAACTTTTTTCCTATATATCATCTAAATGTACAATAACTTTCTTGAAAGTGGTTTTCCCTCTGAGCTCAGTTTGTTTGTTGTGTGTCCTCTCAGGTGGATGGAGGCCTGCCTGGAGGAGGACTTGCCCCCTACCACAGAGCTGGAGGAGAGGCTGAGGAACGGGGTCTACCTCGGCAAACTTGCCAACTTTTTCGCCCCAAAGATGGTGTCTGTGAAAAGGATCTACGACAGAGATCAGGCCCGCTATAAGGTGCATCTCCATTTATAGACATTTAATATCCTTACATTTTTCCCGTTTTTTTTAGGTATACCGTTTTTGCAATTTTTGCATTTCATCGTGAAAAAAACAAACATAAAAACAAATATTTTCAGTTTTTCTGCACTTTGTAACAAAATGTGAGTTAGCTTTTTAGCTTGACTTTGAGATGAATTGTATCGCTCTTTTACACATTATAAACCAACTTTATCAGACTGTTAGAGTGATACGTTTTGTAGTCAACATTAGACCTTCATGTATCTAACAGGCGCAGTAGTTTAAGGCCTTTGATAATGAGCTCAACTTTTTATAATGAATATTATTTGTGCACGGCATTTCCTTTTTATCACTTTTCAGGTTGCATCGATACCATTTTGATACATTTTGTTTTATTTCCACATAATTATATGGCCACATTTATACGTCCGTTCTTGTGTTTTTGCCTGCAGAGCAACGGGCTCCACTTCAGGCACACGGACAACACCGTGCAGTGGCTCAGAGCCATGGAGTCAGTGGGTCTCCCAAAGGTAAGAGGCTGACACACACATCATTAATGCAGACCCCTGCTGTGCTCCATGTTTTGCAACTATGCACACACACACATGTTCAGCACACAGACCCAGGCAACAGTCATTCAGTCATCACACATTAGGAAACACTTTTTGTTCTCATTAAGTTCCCCTTTTGCAGATGAATTAAAGCTTTTATAAAACCCCTTATTATTTATTTTATATTCCCTAAGTCAAAATATATCACTTGATCATCAGAATCAAGGAATACTTTATTATCTCAGAGGAAACGGACACATTTTTCATCATTTCCTCATCAACACAAGAGCGTACTAATCAGTCATATATCATCATGACAGACAGTTTGTTTTAGGATGGGAAACTCAGCCAGTTCAAGTCATGCTTTGAAACACTATGGAATCGGGATGTCTAACTTTGTCATGTGTTTATTGGCTCAGGGTTATAACATAATAGTTCAAATTAGATCAGGTCTAAGTAGGGCTGCTCGATTATGGCAAAAATCATAATCTTGATTATTTGGGTCAATAATTGATATCACGATTATTAAACCGATTATCCATTTACTTTAAAAAAATGTTTGAACAGTATGTTTTTAACAGTTGATAACCCTGAACTTTAAGTATAATTCAACTGAAAAACCAATAAAAAAATAAATAATAATAATCGTTTTATTTCGATTATGTTATTTTCATAATCGTTGCAAGCCAAAATCATAATTGCGATTTAAAATACGATTAATTGAGCAGCCCTAGGTCTAAGGGTCATAAACCATTTCATAACCAAGAACTTGTAGCTACGACTTAGACAAAATATAATCCATCAATCCAGAAGAATCCAAAATATAAAAGTTGCAGATCGCCTTCAACCTGCAAAAGTTATCCTACGACTTCAGTTCGACTGACTTAACATTGTATTCATAAAACGTAAACAAAGCTGTAGAGCAAAGGGTAAACAAATATGTAATCAATTAGCAGGACATTTATTTACATTGATAGTATGCTACATCACCTGTGGCAAAACGTTTTTCAACTATAAAAAGTGTGGTACACTCAAAGCACTGACAGAAATTGTAATGAGGGTGTGGCCGTCACGCAGAGCAGTAACCTCATTACATCTTTTATGAGGACACAAAAGACTTCACTGATGTGTATCCAGGGAAGAGAAATGAGGTTAAGTTGATACTCACTTGTACCTCCTGGGCAGAACAACAGCATCATGATCACCTAAAACATAATGCAGTCCGCTGCAAAGGCGCTGCAATAGATAATACAGTAGAACTTTTTAAACCTTATTATTTTATAAACTAAGACACTGACTGGTTTTGAACTAGTTGACTGGGGGTAGTGAAAAGGAGGTGCTTTGCAAAGGTAGTGTTTATTGCAGTGGAGTTGCCTGGGATCACATTATATTTTAAAGCTATTCCCGTTAATATATCCACCAATGCAACTGCTCGTACTTTACAGAATGATGTCTTTCTTTTTGGCTGCAGCAGAATAAAGATTATAAATATTTATACATGTGTCGTGTTTTCTGCTTTCAGATATTCTATCCTGAAACGACAGATGTGTATGATCGTAAAAACATGCCAAAGGTGGTGTACTGCATACACGCACTCAGGTAAGAATAACAAGAAAACCAAAACATAGTAATAGTTATCATTTACTGTATGCACGATTCTTTTGTGACAGCAGCGTTGTTCACTCATCTGTAGAGTGTTTGATTGTACATTGGCAGTGTAGTGTCTTTTTTCCAAAGGGTCTCACACCCTAATGTTGCTTACGATCTGTTGTTGGGTAGTTAATTAAAGTATGAATGAATGGGCAGATTAGATGTCATGTGGGTCTGCTTTGTCACTGACCGTAACTAATTGTCTCATTTGGATTTATTTACTTTCACTTCATGGTTATGGCAGACGGTATCAAACACTTTGGTTTGACAAGTTTGCGATATAAATGGTTATTTTGCTTTCCAATCAGCAGTGTATTTAAATGACAGCTATGAAGGACAGTTCACATGTAACATTTATATTATTACTCAGTGGGGTTTAGGAAGATTAAACTATACATAAGGAACAAGAATAGTACTTTGTAAGTGATATGAAACAGAAACTGGAAAACGTTATTAGTACTTAAGTAAGGCAGAGAAAGTGTTGCTTGTTGAACACAGATATTTTTTTATGATTTATCTTATGTAGGTCAAGGCTATATTATACAGCACCTTGCATCCAGCTGCTCTGTGCCAAGTTCACATGCTTTCACTCCCTGTATTGCCTGTTTACTCAAACTCCTTAAACCACGAGATAATTAACGGTACAATGACCTTGAACAGTTTTAAACTCTGTTATTTGAGTTTGTTTTCAACACTTATGATTAGCATGACTGCACACTGCTTCTCTAAACCTCTATACCACATGTGTCAAACTCAAGGCCCGGGGGCCAAATCAGGCCCTTGGTGGATTTCATTTCGGCCCGCAGGATAATTTCTAATTACTATTAGATCTGGCCCGCCGGTATATTGCACGCACACCTTCACTCAATCCTGAGGGTTTCCTCAGCTCAGAGCCTGAGCCCAAACATTGATGAACTTGCACCCAAGATGAGATGCCAAGTATCTGGCTTGAACTAGCATCACAGAGCAGCACACTGAGTTTCAATGGATGTTTCCTTCTGCACTTTTTTTCTTGCGACAACAGGGCATGTTTGGTTTTTCTTTGAGGGGAATTGTTTTTTTGAAGCTGTTGTTGGCCTGTGGAACAATGTAATCATAAGAAATGACTCGGGGAAAAGCTGCAGATAGAGCCATAAGAAATGAATGCAACTGATTATTTAATGTTGTTTTTATAGGCAATAATTTAAGCTTTGTTAGTTCCAGGTTTAATATGTGCAATAAGTTCATTTCAATACGTTTTGCAATAAACATTGAACCAGTCCGGCCCTCGACTAGTACCGATTTTTTTATTTTGGCCCACTGTGTATTTGAGTTTGACACCCCTGGTCTATACAGTATGTAATCAGGGGCTTTCTGTTAAACTGAGTGTGGTGATTCATTGCTTAACTCTTTACTAGTTGGTTCACCACAAAAGGGGCACAATCTGTGTCATGTTTTCAGGTTTGTGAAAAACGTTGTCAAACTGTAAAAACAAAAGGTTTGAGGTCTCACAGTAATGTGGTTGGTTTGACGCCCTCAGTTCTTCAGTTAAGATGACTTTGAATAAACTTAAGGGTCAATTATATCCATTTGATGGAGTCAGCTTAACGCAGCTTTAGGGAGTGCTTATGTGAGCTGCTCGGGTTGTTTTCTCTGTTGTAGTGTTTTGGTCAGGTCCCGAGAGACTTGGTTTCCTTCCCTCCTTTTTCACACACGTGCACTTCCTTCCTGCCAATCCAGCTACAGTCCCACAAGGACCCAGTGAATACTCTGCTTCCCTGGGTACAAACACATGCAGACATAGAGGCAAAGCAGTGGATTCCCCTGCACTCTTGAAAATTGAAAGGAAATGGGCAAATAACATACAGAGTACATAACACTACAGTACAGTACATAACAAGTGGTAGAGATTGAAGGCCTTTTTTTATTTTGAAAGTCATTTTCTTTTTGAGAAAAGAAAACAAAGGGGATTCACAGTTTGTAGAGAGCTAGTTGCTTCAAGCTAGTTATCTGTTATCTGTGTGGCTTTTAATCAGCCACCTCCATTAATCCAAGTCAGCTGCTTTCATTTCATTTTCAAACCTTTATTTAACCAGATTGGTCCCCTCTTTTTCAAGGGAGACCAGCTGCTACTGAGTTTTTATCTCCGACTGAATCAGCTGCCTGCGTTTTAAAAACATTTGTCTGAGCAGAGTTTAGACTGTCTAGCCTCCTGTATTCCAAGGACAGAGTACATTTCATGTTTACACACTCACTGTGGCTAAAGGGCAGATATACGAGCTACAGCACCGCCTGCATCAGAGCTGTGCTGTCGCGGGACCTGCCTTAAATATCTATAATTCATTATCGCTTATCAGGTAACCGCGGGAAGATGAAAGTTTTATGAAGTTTCCAGCCACCTGCTTGTTGATTTCAGTGTTCAGTGCTTGTTGTAATGTGAGTAGACACTACCCCCCTGTGGTGTCAGAGGGACATTACAGGCCTTCAGAAGCAAAACCTTAAAGGGAAAGTGACCAGTGTACAGTTTCATGATATCAGACTGTAAAATACCAGAATGTTGCAAGCTTTTCAGTGCTTTATTAATTAATTTGTGTACGTTTACAGTCTAAATCTTCTGAATAATGTGGTTTATTTCAGCTTGTACCTGTACAAACTTGGCATTGCACCACAGATCCAGGACCTGCTGGGGAAAGTGGCCTTTACAGGTAACACCAATGGAAATCAGCTTCTTATGTCAAATATGCGAGAAAATGCACCTCAAAGTGCACATTAGTAGAAACATTTAAATCATAAATTGTTAATTGTTTTCCAAGACAAAGGATAAATGTTGCCCGAGGGCTTTTTGAATTACTGATCCTGATTGTTCTTTGTATGTGAGTATTTGTCTTGTTGGATTATAATTAGAAAAACGATCATTATGCTCTCAAGCATGTAATGTCTTATGAGTAACATCTTGTCTGAGATTTATATTTTTGAATTATCCACCATATCAGTTAATCAAAAATATCCCCTGCAGCCATTTACATTTCAACAAATAACACACAACTGTATAAACTACAAAGCTTTTGACATTGGTCTCAGGGCTTATGCACATTGGGTTTTCAATCACATCTGCAACAACAATCAACACACTGTTTTTATTGTTCCCAATTCAACTTTAGGGAAACATGCATGGGGATAAACAGCTTGAGCATGCTGTTAGAAACAAATTAGATGTACATATTTGTGAGAAATTAACCAATTGTTATTTATGATTTGAGGGAAACAACCTCAATTGTATCTTGCAGTTTATTTTATTACTTTTTGTATACGTTATGACACAACACTTGCAATTGGTTTCTACCTGTCTTCTAGAGGAAGAGATTAGTAACATGAGGAGTGAGCTGGAGAAGTATGGCATTCAAATGCCAGCTTTCAGTAAGATTGGAGGAATCCTGGCCAATGAGCTCTCAGTGGACGAAGCTGCCTGTAAGTCCTCTGACGTTTCACTTAATCTCTGACTTACTTTATGTTGTTTTTGTCACAAACTAAACTGTGCTCACACTCGGTTTTCCTCAGTGCACGCTGCTGTGATCGCCATCAACGATGCGGTCGACAGAGGTCAGACGTCTGTGACGATGGGAGCTCTTAATAATCCTAACGCCATGCTGAAGAACATCCAGGAAGCTCTGGCTCAAGAATACCAGGACGCTCTGAGCCAGGCCAAGGCTCGGAAGCAGGATCAGTCCTCAGGGAGGGTGAGAAGCCTTCCAAACGCTTCAGTGACCTCTTTTGTTTCAGAGTATCATTCATATCATTTATATTAAATTGCTGACTTTCCCTATAGAAGCCTTTATTACAATAATTCTATAACAACGTTCGTTTAGTTCCTCTCTTGCTAGCCTTCTCACAGCACTCAATCTCTCTCTTTCACTTTTCTTTTAGGACTAATCCGATATTGAGTTGCAAAGATAATTAAAACAATAGAAACCTTAACATAAATTGCCAAAAACACCTCTCCACTAAAGCCAATGTATACAATCTTACATCAGTATTCAACCAAAGGTGGGACCAGGGTTACAAAGACTGTCGATTCAGGTTGATAACCACAACATTTCTCTGCCTGTAGTGTCTGTCTGAAAGTAGTGACACAGAAATGAAATAATAAAACATTGAGAACAAATCTGAGTAATGCAAAGAAATGTGAACAGGACCCTTGCGCTAAGCTGATGTTTTGACTGCCCTGTGTAGTACTGACCGCTATAACAACTGAGGTCTGAAAGGGGTTGCCTCACTGAGTCACTGCACAGGCCAGCACATTCCAGCGGCTGCAGAGTCAGCTGGACTTCACCAAACACAAACCCTCGGCACCGTCCGGCATCTCGCCTCCTATTCTCTTTACAAACACTGGAATTGGCTAGAGTCTGATATGTCTAATATGTTACTTAATCAGTTTGAATGGGGAAACATGTGATTTGGTACAAAATGTGATGTGAAATACAAAATGGATATTAATGTTTATCCTTCTCTTCTTTAATTAGCGCTCCTCCATTGCTACTGAAGAAAGAGATGTTTATGAGGAGTTGCTGACTCACCAGGAAATCCAGGGCTCCATTGATTTTGTCAACAGTAAGGACTTTCTCTCCAATATGATGCTCACATAGCTCATTTTACTAAAACATTGTCAAAAAACCATGACTGCTTTCCTTTATGTATGTAAAACAAAACCCTTTGTACCTTGTTGGTGCATAATAACCCATAACACACGTGAACTCTACAGTGTATATACAGTAGAGAAGTTAAAGTAATAAAATTGCATAGAATCTGATTTTTTTTGTAGCACTTCTGAAAGAAAACACATATCCCTAAATAGCGTCTGCGTGGTGTTCCCCTCTCCAGTGCAGGCAGCGGTGAGGCAGGTGAATGAAGCCGTGTCGGCCCAGGACGAGGCCTCTCTGCTGGCTGCTCTCAGGCTGGACGCTCTGGCCCTGCTGGGGGTTCAGGAGTCAAACTGCAGCTGGTACCTGGAGCACTTCACCACCTACTGCCAACATAAATCTAAGGTACTGAATCACAGCTTGTTTGCTCGGTTGTCCCCAGTTCATGTCCTTATGAGTCAGAGCCCCTCTAGTCTTCTTTCCCAGTTGTTTGTTAAATCATGTATTTTCAGTAAGGCAGGCTAGAGTAAAAGCAATATTTGAGGCTCCTGAGAGCCATAGTTAAAAAAAAAAACGATGTTGGCAACCTACTGTATAGGTCCTCGTAATAAAAATGTTAAACGGGTGTTTAGCATAGAAACAAATCATACACATTTGCAGTATTTTCTTAGAAAAAAGTCCAGTTTTGTAAAGTCTGCTTTTTTGTTTGTCCAGCTGACACAAAAAAATTTCTTTTACTTTTAAGTTCTGCTGTGAGGATAACATGTAGACACTGATTTCACTACTAGGCGGTGTATCTGAATGCAGAGTCCTTGAGGGGAACCGTAGTCATAGGTAGTGAAGACAGTGCATTAAATAAAAAGCCCATCCACACCCTCAGAGAAAAACTAATCAGCCATTGCAATTTCAGTTGGTATGGACACCACCTTGCCCTCCACAACCCTTTATTAAAACATGCTGAATCATCACTGGATGTTAGTCATTTCTCTGTAGTGTAAACTAATCTTTGTGTTGCAGGATGAAGGGAAGTCTGTGGTGGTGGACAGAGAGGAGATTCAGAGAGTCGTCACCTCTTGTAATGACTTTGCTGAGGCAGAGAAACGAAGTAAGCACGTTTTGTTACCCACCTTGTTTTTAACACATAACTACCGGTCAGTTGTGAAATCACATACTGTATGTACCCATTAGAAAACTTCTCAAAGAACAAATGCATAATCTATGTCACATTGTCCAGTACGGCTCATTATACATCTTTAATCTGGTTTTTCTAAAGTAATTTAATTATGTAATTGTAAGACAAGAAGACAGTTTAATGCTGACATGCCTTAGGTTATCTACATGACTATCTGTGATCATTTTCTTGACCAGAACTCGAGGCGGTTGCAGTGATCAACACAGCCATTCGTCTGGGCAATGCAGCGGAGACAGCGGAGGAGCTGACGAACCCTGAAGCACAGCTGCCCATCGTCTACCAAACTGCTGCCAACCTCTACCAGGCTGAGCTGTTCAGTTTGCAGCTGCAAGGCGCGCGGGTGAGACATCCTTTTGTGCCATTTTGACTCTTTACAGTATGTTGACCCAAAGACAGTACAGGTAAAGGGGAGGCCAGTCTACACATGTACCATAGTTTCTGTGAATATCACTTCATGCTTGTGAGTCAGACCTTGTTTATGTGTTTCAGTCTGGCCTGAGCCACGAGGAGCTGAGTGTGGCTGTGGAGATGCTGTCGGCGGTAGCGGTGCTGAATGAGGTGCTGGACACCAAAGACCCTCAGGCTGTGATCGAGCAACTATCAGACTCCCCTCTGGGCTTCACCAACATGGACCAGGACAACCTCAACAGGTGAGATGGATGAGTAATTTGGTAGCTAGCTTTGGTGCTGATCGTGTTCTTTTTTATTATCACTGTTGTTGTTTTTTTCTATATTGTGGCACTCATTGATGTACACTCATGGTGGTACAGGATGATTTAAGAGCAAAGTATTTATTTGATTTCCAAATGATAGACATAATGTCTTCAGGTTGCATGTCACTGAACTCCACTGCAGGTATCGCTCTGATCAAGTTGCACAAACTGGGATTGGCTTATGAGTAAGGGTTCTTTAAATGTCATGAACCTTTGTTGAACTTCCTCTCCCTCAGGTATGCAGACACTCTTATCCAACTGCGAGGCGAGGCTCTTGCCAAAGGCCAAGAGTTTCTCACCTGGAATGATGTTCAGAAATGCATCGACACTGTCAACGTTCAGGTCCATGAGGAGCATGAGCGTAAGACACTTTCTGCTTATGTTTTATGTAGAGTTTGAACCCACAGGCCATACATATATATTGTGTATATATACATTTATGTTGCATTGTTGGAGGAACCTGTGACCCAAGATTTTCATTGCACAACTACACTGTAGCTGTGTATATGACAATAACACCTTTGAACCTTTTGAACCTTTGAGTAGCTTAAGATATAAAAGGACTTTTTCAGCCTGCAGTTGTTATTTTATGTATTAATCAGTTGTTTCCTTCTACTTCCAGGTGTCATAGCTATAGCTGAGATCAATGAAGCTCTTAACTCCGGTGATCATCAGCAGACGCTTCCAGCCCTGCTCCTCCCTACAGCCAAGTTAACAGGAGTGAATCCAGCCACAGCCAAACACTACCATGATGTCCTACAACATACCAAACAACTCCTCTGCCAGGTAATGAGACTTGAAATTGAGTTAACATTTAATGTTTTTATGTAAAAATGGTTTTCTTTTACACTATTTCCTGCCTCTCACGTCCTTAAAGTGCAACACAAAGAAATTAATGGCTGGATGAACCAGTGTAGTCACCGCATGTCACTTTATCTCAATGTAAAAACTACTTTTATTGAATTTTCACAGAACTTTCTCATCCCGTAATTTAAGACTGAAAATACAAGTCTCATTTTTTGAAAATAATTTGTTTTTATATACATTTAATGATGACCACAGCAAATTGTTATTCCAATGTTTCTGTACCATCAAGCAAACAGTTTCCCAATGATAGTATGATTCAGAGTCTAAATCTTCCCTTCTTGATCCTTATATTTTTTAAATAATCTTCACAGAGGATGTTGCTGTTTTGTGTCGAACAGAGACTGCATTATCACCCTGTTGAATCCACAGAGTTCAGTTTTTACATTCCTGATCTTGTTTGTCGGGCTTGAGCTTCCCTGCTGATTCTCAACAATGGTCCATTATGGAGAAGCTGTTTCTGTGCACAAACATCCAGTCTCACGTCATAGAAGTAGGCCTCTTTTGTATCCCGCGGAGAGAAACAAATTGTAGTTCTGAGGCAGCCATCTTGGAAAGGAGCATACACAGGAAGGGATCCAGACAGCTGTGGAAGCAGCAGAGACACACCGCTACTCTGTAATATCCATACAGTCTGTCGTCCCCACTGGTAAACAGACGGATGTAGTGGGCGATATGCAGGATGCCGCTTGGCAAGAAACACACGACAAAGATGATGAAAACCAGAGTGCTGACCCTGATAAACGGTTTCCAGTCGCAACAGGATTGTCCTAGATGGTATACCACTGCTACATGCGAATAGATACAAATCAGGAATGGCACTATGAAGCCCAGGCAAACCAGCATCATCCTGTATGGCACCAATGGGGAATGGGATTTTTCATCCAGGGGCAGGACATCATGGCAGGTGGTGATTCCCAGGTGGGTGAGCTGGTAGCTCTGCCTGACCAGGAGCTCAGGCACAATAGCCACACCGTACAGGAACCAGACCACCAAGCACGACCACACTGCCAGCGTAGACTTAGCCAGCCTTCTGTACAGGAACGGCCGGACCACAGCCAGGTAGCGCTTTACACTGATGCATGCTATAGTTTGGGCTGAACTGTAAACATTGCCATAAAACAAGGCTGTGATAAGCCGGCAGGAGATTTCCCCAAATATCCAATTGTTCCCGTTGAAGTGGTAGTGAACACGCAGCGCCAGGGAGAGCAGCAGCAGCAGGTCGGAGAGAGCCAGGTTCAGGTAAAGAACTATGGTGGAGAAAGGCTTTGCTTTGAGTCTGAGGAAGGCCAGGATGTAGGCGTTGGAGGGGATGCCCACCAGCATGGCCAGGATGTATGATGAGGGGATGACCCTGGTGCTGAGGACCCCCGTGGTGTAGGCTGTCACTGCGTCCTCCGGGCTCATCTGCAGCCAGGGGTCTGAGCTGGGGTAGTGCAGCAGCCTGGTGCCATTCGGTTTGTACAGCGCTGCCTTAAAGGTTTTCGGTATCGCAACACCACTTTCATTCGATACATTCCTGGTTTTGTTTCCTAGAAATGGGTACACAAAAGACAACGATTGATATCAATCAATCAATCAACAACTTTATTAATCCCGCAAGGGGCAATTGGTTATGAGCATGTACACAGGCAGGAACATACAGGAAGAAAACACACATGGCTTTAAAGCAACTTCAATTTAGAATAAAAGTACATTTAAATCTACATTAAAACAGGATGTGTATAGTTAATTATGCTGTCTGCTGTCTGGAGACTTTTTTAGTTATATCTCTTGTTTTATGCAAAAAAACTGACATTTCTAAAATAATATTATTAAATATCTTTTAAACAATGTTTTAACTTCTATATTGTATTTGCAGCTTTACTCAAATAGTTTTGTAACTTAGATTTGGGATCCCTTAACCAGTTAGAACATTAAAAACTAGATGTGAAAAGTCTAAAGTATAAGTATTTAATTATGAAACACTTATCCTTTTGATAAACACTTATAAATAGTATATTAATAAACGTACCTTCATGCTGAATGGTCTGCACTGCCATCAAACAAACAAGTAGTCCCGTTACAAGGTCAGCCATGTCACTCTGCAGTCTCTATCCCAGAGTTTAAACGTTTTCTTCAGCCCTCTTGGTGTTGCTTCTGTTCAGTAAGAGTTCTCCATCGGTGAAATTTGCTGTTTTGCATTTCTGTACTGAAAAGTAGAACTGATAACGATGTGTGCTCAAGCCTCGCTTCCCGTTAGTGTACTGTATGTGGGGCGCTCTTCTGTTTGTACGCTGCAGTGAGCATGTTTCCTGTCCAGACTTGAACATGAATTCTCTGCTGCCTACGTCAGTCACTGCCCTCTGACTCACTGAGGAGGGGGACACACTGCTTAATGGTTAATTCACAGCTGTGATCCAAAACAAATCCCCCTGATTACCTTGGTGATGAGTATTTTGTTGTGGTTTACCTTTTGATGTGATTTTGCAGTCATTGAAGGGTGAATGTAGTGTTAGTCAGCTTTATTTTGAAATTCACAATAGATGTTTTCAATTGCTAGTTTTCCAAGATACCATTATATTATACATTAGATCATTAATGTAATATTTACTTTGCTTCAAGATGTTAACCAGTCATTTCAATGAAAGTTAACTCATCTTTTTGCTGTCCTGGTTTGCTTTGTCCTTTTTTTGGGCTCACGACACAAGCACATTCATCCGGTCCCTCTGGTTAATCTTTACACTGAAATTATGCCAGTTTTCTTTTCCATCACATCACTGCGTTTGGCAGCAAAGCTTCTCTCAGCACATGATGCGTTGGTTTGGAAATTATTGGCCGGTTGCAGATCTAAAAAGAAAGCTGCCTATACTGTGCTCAGTGTGTTTTAATGGGGACTTCCTTCCTGTGATCAGAGATACACCCCGGCCCCTACCAGAGTCTTCTAAAATTAGCCTGAGAACAAACACAAAAGTCAGGCTGAATAAACACACTTTGTAGTTGTCGTGACGTTCTCAGGCAGGGTCTGTTTTTGAGTGTAAAGTGGTTAAGTGTAACTATTGTCAACACATTTTTTCCTTTTCCTCAGGCCTCACCTCTGGACACAGGGGAAATGGTACTGTGTATTATTTGCCGTTGCTTTAATAGCACCAGCTTGTGTTTTGTTGGTTATCAGTGTTGCTTTGTAGTGCTACTGCTGTAGAGCAAAATCTCAACAATCCTAACTTGATGTTTTTGAATAATTCCCTTTACTTTATTTCTAACATTGGACATTTAATGTTTTTGGCCTAATTAAAAATATTTATAATTTGGTATCAGGTTAGTATTGTTTTTGCTTGCTATACATTATCATCGTTTGTTTGTCTGATGTGTAGTTCTGTCTCTTCCATCCAAGAAAAAAAAGAATACCTTGAGTGACCTTGTGCTTCAATCTGATTGTAGAGCTCTGGAGACGAGTCTGCAGTACTGTGGCTGGACCAAATCCAAGAGGCCATACACACAGCCAATCAGGATGAAGAGGAGGCTCTCACATGTATGTACCCAGAGTTTAAACTCACTCATCCATGTCTTAACTACCCAAACAAAAGTTTATTCAGACCCAACATGAGGAGGACATCGGGAACTAGATTTAGATCATCACACAGCTCTGACCCATGTGCTCATTAATGTTCTAAATTAATACGTAGCTTGTTTCAAATGTCTCTTGACCACATGCACTAACTACTACATCATTTTCTTACTTACTTTTATTTGAATGTTGATTGTGTAGCAACACAAGTCTTTCAAAACTGCTTCTTGCATATATCAGTTCAGCCTGATGGTCATCTAAACATGTTTTTGGCATTACTTTTGTCACACATCATTTAATGTAAATTGGCCTCAAAGACTCTTTTCTTCTGCAAGACTTTGTAATTATTTGTAATGCCTAATCAATTTGTCAAAATTAATGGAAGATATATCGGCACACTTCTTCTATATCCATTCTTTACGAGACTGTAACACTGACTGAAAATAGTGGAATAGATACAATAAGCTGTGTTTCTTATACACGTAGGGGTATTTCTTTCTCTTTAGTTACATGCATAGTGTAGAATAGATGTGCAGATACTGCCATTATTGTGGGCACAATATTTCGATTTTGATATGTTGTTACATGTTGAGGATAACCCCTTACTCCCTAGTTGTACTAAGTGGTTATTGTGCTGTTTCATATTAAACTCAATGATTGCTCCCTTGTTGTGATCTTGTTCATGTTGCTAGTGGCTGGAGCAGTGGCTGACATCAACAGGACCGTGGCCGAGGGGGACGCTCAGAAAACACTGCAGGCTCTGCAGGTTCCCAGTGCCGGACTGAGAGCGGTGCTCCCTGAATGTGCCGAGACATACCAGGCAGAACTGGCGGAAAGACAAACAAACGGTGATGATGAAGGTAATTATACTTACTGCATGAGTAATACATGTTGGGAAGCTTAGTGTTCAGGAAACTGATGCCTGAACAGTGAGATTGTAGGTTTCAATATGACTGCACTGTGTCTAACTGAGTCCTTTCTGCTTTCCTACAGGCAGCACTGAGAGTGTGTGGGTTAAACATTGCATCAACGACAGATATGACTACTACTACAACCTGGAGACTGGACAGGGCACCTGGGAGGAGCCTGAAGGGTTTCTACACCATGGTGGCCAGCTCGGTAAAGAGGAAATCCAGGTACCCTCTGCTCTAATGCATAGTTTCACTACATTGTGTATTCTTATGTGCTGTTAACATCCTGATATCACATTGATGGTATATATCACCTTCTTGTTTTAATGTTCATTTTCAGGATCCCTATTTATTTGATCAGATAGTAATCCCACTATAGAAGTTTTTTTCTCCTAAAAAATTAATATATATATATGTTAATAATTTTAGTTTTTGGGAGAAGGGGTGGGATTAAATAAGTGTAAAATTCTTCCCACCCCTTTTGGGATGTGTAATTAAGTAGATCATTTGTTTATATATAATTTAGAATCAGTAATATTTTTGTATATCAATTTGACACTGCTTAATTTTGTATTGTATAATAATTATCATGTTAAATTTCATTATAGTTATTATTTTTTTGTATTATTGTTTTACACATTTGAAATAATTCTAATCAAATCCTTATCAACATAAACAAATCTGTATTTTCCCCTTAGGGTGTTGTCAGCTCTTTGACTGCAGAATATAACAGGGAACAGTTATGGATGGCCAATGAATCCATGGTGACCCAGCTGCAGGCGAGGGTCAGAGGTTACCTGGTCAGGAGAAAGCACGCCCGGAGAATGGAGTATCTACGGCAGCAAGAGCCACACGTCGTCAAGTTGCAGGTATTGTATTGCTCCACTGTGAACTGTGAATATCTGATCTCTTATGCAGCTGTGTGTTACTGCAGGACTCATGAATCATAATGGGGATGTCCATACAAACCTGTTTAGAACCAGTCTACTGAGTGTATACAAATATTCTTTCAGCAAAACCTTAAAAAAAGCAAATAAAAATCATAAATGATCAACCACCAAAATGTAATTATCCAAGCTGTGGTAACACTGATATAAAACACAACTTGTTATACATGTATATGTTTCCTTTGTTGCAGGCCTGCTGGAAAGGTCACAAACAGAGGAAAATGTACAAAGACAGGATGGATTTGCTCCAGGAAAATGTCTCTTCGATTGTCAAGGTGATAAGTCTTTTCTTTTTCATCAATATTATTATTAAAAAGTATGCTTATTGAAAGACTAGACACCTCTATAGCTATGCACCCCTTCCCTGTAAATGATCTCCAGTCCCAAACTCAAATAACCATTGTACTGTAGATGTGTAAACATTTATTAAATGAATTTGCATGTACCTAACATAAATAACGTTGCTGCGATATTGAAGACCTGACATAAAACACTGGCGTTTTATTTTTAGATCCAATCTGTTGTGAAAATGTGGAAAGCCAAGCGTAAATACAATCAGAGGTTGCAGTTCTTCAAAGATCATGTAAGTAACCAAACATCAATCCACAGGGTCTTTTGGGTTTGTGTTTTTAGTTCCTGTGTTTTAAAGACTCACTGTTCTCTGTGTGTTTAGGAAAAAGAGATTGTGAAAATCCAGGCTTTTCTAAAGGCCAACAAAGCCAGAGACGACTACAGAACCCTCAGTAAGTCAGAAAGGCATTTTAATGAACATACATACTAAATTGATATACTATCGATCTTGTGATGATATTAGCTGGGAATGTGTTACTGTTTTTGAGCTATGTCCATATTTTACATTGATTTAAAGTGCTTTTCTGGTTTTAAATGATGCATTATAGTTAGGTATCCCTATTTTTCTTACATATGATTTACTTTTGATTTGTGTTTTTTCCTGTATTTCCTGGCTCATCATATTTCATAGTTGATGGGGACATTTTAAACAATGAGATTACATTGTGTGTGAATGTTTAAAAGGCCGCTGACTTTCTTGTGTGCCTAATCCTAGCTGGGGCCAAGGACCCTCCTCTGTCCGTGGTGCGTAAGTTTGTCCACTTGCTGGAGCAGAGCGCCCTGGACCTTCAGGAAGAGCAGGAAGTAACGCGGCTCAGAGAAGAGGTGGTCACCAATATTCGCTCCAATCAGCAAATGGAGAAAGACTTGAACTTGATGGACATAAAGATTGGATTGCTGGTGAAGAACAGGATCACTCTGCAGGTTCGCTAGCTTTGATTTCATGTGTACAAGAAATGCAACTGATATTTATGTTGAAGGCTTACATTCCTATAAGAATGTCTTGTTCTGTTCAGTTCAGCTACTTAACCTTTTTGTTGTTTTGTTTTTTTAAAGGATGTTGTGTCCCATAATAAGAAAATGAAGAATAAGAAAAATAAAGCGAGTAAGGACGACTTGACTACAGGAGACCGACAAGGTATCAAGGGACTAAACAAAGGCAAAAGAAGGAAACTGGAGGCCTACCAACATCTCTTTTACCTGCTGCAGGTGATACAATATGATGTCTTTAACTACAGCTTGCATCTGCTGAACTTAGAAAGGTCGAATGAAAGGTCCAAGTTCAGTTGCAGACACTTAATGTTACTCTTTTTGTTCCCCTTTAGACCAATCCACACTACCTGGCCAAGCTGATCTTTCAGATGCCCCAAAACAAGTCGACCAAGTTTATGGACACGGTGGTCTTCACCTTGTACAACTACGCCTCCAACCAGAGAGAAGAATACCTGCTGCTCAAACTCTTCAAGACGGCTCTGGAGGAAGAAATCAAGTGAGTACTGCAGCTTTAATCAATACTTTGCCATAATCTCAAGCCATTATTGTCCAGTAATGGTGTTGTTTTCAAAGGTAGTACACATGCAAAAGCGGCTAAACAATCCTTACAATAATGGGAAATGTCTTACCACTGCTTGTTTGGCAAACAGCACTGATCAGCTGTTCTCAATGTGTCTCAGTTCTAAGGTGGACCAGATCCAGGACATAGTGACGGGGAACCCGACAGTCATCAAGATGGTAGTGAGCTTCAACAGAGGCGCACGCGGCCACAATACACTGAGGCAGCTGCTGGCTCCCTGTGGTCAAAGACATCATTGACGACAAGAGTTTAGGCATCAACACCAACCCAGTGGACGTGTACAAAGCCTGGGTCAACCAGCTGGAGACGGCCACCGGAGAGGCCAGGTAGTGAAGAGGCATTAGAGGGGGGTGGGGGGGAAGTGCGGCAGACCGGAGGGGTTGTCTGTTGGAATGATTAAAGCTTTAATACATATGGTTGTTGGATGTATATAATGTGCCCAGTGGACAGTTATGTTGAATGTTGTTGCATAACTACATTCAGGACTGTTTTTGTTGAGCCTGAGTGTAGTTATCCATGTTATATCCCAAAGAAAGGAGTCAGGATATACTACAATTGAATATGTGTGTGATATTAACACAATACATATATTAATATCATATTAATAAAAAACATGCGATAATATTGTGTAAATAATGCATAAATGCATAAAAATGCATAAAATTAGATTTATAAGTTACTTTCTATTTTGTACACTTTTGTAGAGTTATGGTTACAGCCTTCCTACACCTCTCTACACAGAGACAAAACAGACAATAGTTCAAGTGAATGAGACTGATTGCATCATGGTTTTTGTTTTTCCTTTAAGTTTGCCATAGTTATCTTGAAAATATCTAGATTGTGAATTTCTTTTGGTGAAAATCTGATATTGTGACAGCCCTACTCGCTGCTAATGTCGAACAAAACAATTATTGAGGTCATTTGTTTTTAACCATACTGATACCAGGTCAGGAAATGAATGTACTATCCTCATAGTTGATGTTATCTTTTAGAAAATGATTATACATGATGATACAGTGATTCATACACTGTGAAAACAATAGTATGCATGAATGATTCCTACACTTGCTGACTGTTGTTTTTGTCTTTCAGCAAGCTCCCCTATGAAGTGACTCCCGAGCAGGCCATGTCCCATGAGGAGGTCCGCAGCAGGCTGGAGGCCTCCAGTCTGGCGCTACGCACGGCTACAGATAAGGTCTTGAACTCCATTGTGTCTTCACTGGATAATATCCCGTAAGTTTTAGGACCTGCTTCGTTTCAAAGTCCACTTATCATCTGTTTTCTCTGTGACAGTACTGCTCGTCAATGCCTGCATGTTGGTCAGCATGATTTTGTTGACTCTCGTGGTTCATTACTCAAACCTCGTTGTAAGAAAGACTAAAACGGGTGTTTTTTTTTTACATTTGTCTTTAAAACTCTTAATTAAGAGTTAATCCAAGACTTGATAGCATAGCTGTTCTTTCTGTTGTACAAACTAATACATAGTTACACAATGCACCCCATGACAGTGTAATCTACTCTGAGACCATTCAGCCTCAGTGATGTTCTAACAGGAAATACCTCAGTCAAGGGCCATGCTTTCTTGCTGTTGGATTTGGTTACATAAACATTTCAAATGTTTATGTTGTGAAATGTATTAGAAGGACACAGAAAACCGATTTCTCTCTGTACATAATTGTTTACATTTATTCATTACCTTGCATTGTTATCATTTTGTAATATTTACCTAGCATTTTTATCCTTTTTTACATATTTATTTTCGATTTTCCCAGAGTATTCACCTCTATTCTAGTTTGTTACAATATTATTCAAGCAGTGTGACCAAAGTATGTCTACGAAGGATATGATCATATGCTTAGGCACGTAATTTTCAGCTCATTCTGGTTGTTAGGGTATTTGATCCATGTGAGGAAATGGTCATTACTAGATAATCTATGGAGCAGTGATTATTAGGTCATTTTTTAAAACTGAAACACATAACTTCTTCAACGGAAATATTACTAAACAACACAATTCATAATCTGTATATACCATGTGAAGGTGATATTATATATGTATCTGGACATATACAGAGATGAAGAAATCCCTCAATATTTCCAGTCATTATTGCAAGTGTCATTGTTCCACTTACAGTAGGTCCTCCATTTTCTTTGTCATGATCTCACCATATCATTTATCCTACAGTACGTTGGAGCATGTGGTTTTGTGTTTGATGTCCCATCAATGCTTTCTGTTTTGCATGTAGTTATGGCATGAGATACATAGCAAAAGTTCTGAAGAACAGCCTCCATGAAAAGTTTCCCGATGCCTCAGAGGATGAGCTGCTGAAGGTAGAAGCCCTTAAATGTGTACATATATATTTCTGTAATTCTTATGTTATGATTCTTCTCACAGTTCTCTCTGCATACGTATACTTGTGAGCATGCCGAGGTCAGATAAACATTATAAACTATTTTAATGATGCATTCTTTTCTTGTTGTGACAGATTATAGGGAACCTGCTGTACTACCGCTACATGAACCCAGCCATCGTGGCCCCCGACGGCTTCGACATCATCGACATGTCAGCAGGAGGGCAGCTTCATGTGGACCAGCGGCGCAACCTGGGATCTGTGGCCAAGATGCTGCAGCACTCTGCCGCTAATAAGCTGTTTGAGGGAGAGAATGCACATATGACCCCAATGAACAACTACATATCTCAGACATATGAGAAGTTTAGGTAAGAAATAATCAAATTTAAATAGATGCAAAAAAGGAAGCTGTGTAGTGGTACATATGTTCTGAAGAAGTCTTTGAAATGCTCGATTTAAATGGTTTTATCTCAGGGCAATATTGAGCCAAGTCTTGCATTAATATACAGCCTGCCATTTGTTAAGAAAACACAAAGAAATAAAGTAGGGGCTTATCATGAACATGTTTAACTCGTAAGCTCAGGAACAGTTCAAGTTGACTTTGTGAAAGTAGAGATAATTCAAACAAGAAGCTATAATCTGCTGAACCAGCTATCGTGAGACCTTCAGAAAAGATTTGGACAAACTCACAAATAAGGACGGCTGAGCCAGTGTGGACCCCACCCTGTCAAAGTGGTTGACTCATCTTTACCGGAAATCCACATAAATGTTTGTCCATTTTCTGGAAACAAATCAGCATGAGCAATTCACCCAACATTAGAGAAGATCAGTATTTTGACTTGACCAGTTCACTTCATTTGCTAATGGATGCCATTATCTCAGTCACAATTTAATAATAATAATAATACATTTTATTTTAGGCGCCTTTCATGACACCCAAGGACACCGTACAATTTGTTAAAAAAGAAAACGCTGATAGGCAACAGAACATGATAAAAACACAAACAGGAAATCATGGAGGAGACAATCAAGTGGACACAAATGAAACATATAATGGGGAGCACTTTTTGGGGAGCAGATTTAAGGCTTATAGCGACTAATTACTGATGATCTTTTCTCTTTCAGGGTGTTCTTCCAGTCAGCATGTGATGTCCCTGAACCTGAGGAGAAGTTTAATATTGATGAATACTCCGACATGGTGACTCTAAGCAAGCCTATCATCTACATCTCAATAGATGAGATCATCAACACACACTCGGTAAATCCAAGCTTAATTACTTTAGACTAATAATAATAAAATATGAATCTTCTTGTCAGTAAATTAGGCAAGGCAAGTTTATTTTCACTTTTCAGCACATGACAATTCAAAGTGCTTTACAAAACAAATTTAAAGACTTTTTAGGAATAAATACAGTAAAAACACATTATATAATGGCATTTTACAAAAGGCATTAAAAAGCAAAGATAATAAAATAAACACAACAGGTATACAATACATGTTTAAATGGCATCCTGCAGTGCGCATACAGTATGATCAGCTCAATTAAAAGCAGCGGCAAAGAGATATGTTTTCAGTCTCGATTTAAAAATAGTAAGAGTTTCTGCAAAAATTACATGTTTGTACTGATATTACAGTCACTTAGCAGCACTATATTAATCTAATTTATTTAGACTGGTTTAATTCAATCTTACTTGTAGCAGTCAAACACACCATATTACCTTTATTCCTGTGCTAGTACTCTGGGTACTAGTATCACTACTAGAAGGAGGAGTGTTACTAGCAGTACTAATGCTAATACTAGCAGTCCTATTAGGAATTCAGTGTTCTTTCCTAAAGTCTAGGAGTCATTGAATCAACATTTTATACAAATCAGAAAAGTCCAAATCCATCCTGACTCGACATGTTATTTCAGGACTCAGTAGATCTACAGTTCCCATACTGCTTGAATCCCACTCATTATGTTTCCGCCTTGTATCGTCACCTCTTGGCCCCTCTTTTCCTTCTTTATCTTAGAGCCACTTTCTTTCCTAACATCGTCATCCTGTTTCCATTCTTTATACTTCCAGACCTCTTCCTTAGAAAGGCTTGTGGAAATGTCATGAGGAGGTGAAAGCCCTCTGTGTCCTTTGGTCATCAGTTTCAATCTACACATATTGACATAATTACTAACAATGGAGCAGACGTACATGTTGGCGTTAGTAGATGCTCTGTCCGCCTTTATTTGGCGCACAATCATTTCATAACTTCCTCACTGGTATCTTTATGTGAAGAAAAACAAAAGGATGTGTCCACAACACAAAGGATAGGATATAAAACAATGAAATGCAGGAAATATCCATATATAATGGGCTAAAAACATTTTTGCATTGAGAAAACATATCCAATGTCAACATGTGTTACCAAGAATTCCAGATTTTTGTCCAGGACTTGTTCTTGCTCGTAATTAGGATCCTCACTAGCACTAGCATGAGCATTGGCTATTCTTCCTGGGGTCCGCACACAGTCAAACATACATAAAACAAAAACACAACTAATCATTTCATGCAATTCACAATTCAGTAAGAAGTGGACAACAAAAGTTATCATCCTATTATAACCATATATATTATTATATTAATTTAAGATATTTTTTAAGCAAACTATTGACATTTTCCTGAATATAATGGAACGACAATGAATTCCAGATGACCATGGCTCTGTATATGACAGTTTTCTGTTTCATATTTAGTCTTGACTAATCACATCTGATTTTGTTCAGCTGCTTTTGGAACATCTGGAGGCCATCTCTCCGGACCACAATGACTTGCTGCATGAGCTGCTGCACGACCTGGGAGACGTCCCTGATGTGGAGACATTGCTCGGTACTGTCAAACAGTAACATTTACACTATGTTTGACACAACATATCTATGGTGTGTGTGTGCATCATTTGACATGCTGTGCTTCTCTGTTTGAGGTGAGGGAGCTGTAGACCCGAATGACGTGAACAGAGAGAGCGCTCTGAGCCAGATGGCCAAGACGGAGATCTCGCTCGCTCTAACCAGCAAGTTTGAGCTACTGGAAGGAGACGATAGAGACTTGAAGACGCTGATGACAAAGTAAGTGTATTCTGACAGGATGACAAGACAAATGGCTCCTGTAAAGCCTGTCATAGTTTCATGTTGCAGCCATCCTACAGTATACTGTACAATCGCAATTTAGGTGCCTTGATCCATTTAGATAATAAAAACACATCTGAATCCCTGACAAGTACTCAATATGGAGTTTGACTGCTGTGTGAGGCACTGTACTTAGCCACATTGAAACAAAGGGGTTATCACTCAATGTTTCTTTGTTTCCTTCCCTGCTCTTCCATCGTTTCCTGTCCAAAAAGGAAGGGGTTTGTTCTTCAGGGTTATCTTGACTGAAAACATATATCCGTCTGCATCTGTTTCTTCCTCTCTTTTTGGCATATACACATTTTTAAGTTGCTAAATATTTGGTATTGCATAGATTTCATGTCTGTCCTAAATTGTTTGTCACTGCATACAGTGTTAATTGGTCGCTAAGAAGTTTTGCAACCGCTTGTAGGAATAACTCACGAAACACTGAAAAGAAAACCGCTCATATGGTTTTTCCAATTATAAAATGTACAGTATAGGACAGTAAAAATCTTTTTTGCAAATATTCCTGATCTTTATTGATAGATTTGTCTAACATACATGTGTATGCATGTACCAAAAATAACTGATATCCATCTCCTCATGTTCTAACTGTCGAGCCAATTTCATTGCTAACGCATTAGCATTAGCTTTTAAGGTTACGAGACATGGAGACAAACATAAACACGTTGATGGAATTAAAGCAGTTGAGACAAGTTTTATAATTATTATGTGAGATTAAATGTTGATTGGCTTTGTATTTGAATTGCTTTTCTCCAAGTTTTTGTGAAAGTCATTGTCATTAGCATTTAGTTTTGCCATTTGTAGTTGATGTTAGGCTTTCAGTGATCATCCTATTGTGTGTGTGTATCAGGACCAAAAAGCTTGTAGTGGATGTGATTCGGATTCAGCATGGAGAGAACTTGTCTCAAATTCTTGAGACCCCGTCTTCTGCACCTCAGGTTATATTTTCTTCCATATATTTTTATCATTACGCATATACTCAACATCCATTTGGTGTCAAATGAACTTCTGAAGTTTTTAGGGTCCTAACTTCTAATATGCTTTGCTCCTGAAGGAGTCGGAGCACACTAAGATCGTAGAGCGCAGAGCGGTCCAGGACGCTCAGACTCCAGAGGGTCTGAAGAGCAGCCCGGCGCTCCTGGAGGACAGCCAGCTGCCCCTGGAGCAGAAGAAGAGGAAGATCCTGAGAAACCTCAGGAGCCTGGAGCAGGCGGGCCTTCTCACTGACAGCAACAAGTACCAGGACCTCGTCAACGAGATCTCCAAGGTACAGAGGCAGCTGCTCATTCACATAGGAAGAGAGATGCTTCAATGCAGAGGTGCTAAGTAACTAAGTACATTTATCAGGTACAGTACTTAAGTATCTCAACATTGTACTTGAGTATTTCATTTCTACTGCACTACAATTCAGAGGTAAATCGTGTACTTTTTATCCACTACATTTATTCAATACCTTAAGTTACTTTGCAGATTTGGATTAATAATAGAAATATAATCAAAATTTACACCTGGAGTAAATTCACAAGCTACCCTGCCGTAAACAAAGTAATTTAAATTAGCTATACCTTTATCAGCTGTGATAACATTTGAATGCATCAATAATTATAATCAGAACATAGAATATATATTATTCTGCTAGGGCAATTTGCACAATGAGTACTTTTACTTTTGGTATTGTAAGTTTACTTGAATGCTTATACTTTTGTACTTTTACTGGAGTAACATGTTAAACGCAGGACTTTTACTTGTAACAGAGTATTCCTACACTCTGGTACTTCTTCTTTTACTTAAGTACAATATCTTACTACTTGTCCCACCCTCCAATGCTAAACACATTGTTGTGTCTGCTCAGCTTCTGAAGTTGTGAAGTGGTACTAAAACCTGTGATTGACAGGACATTCGCTACCAAAGACGCTACAGACAGAGGAGGAAGGCGGAGCTGGTGAAGCTCCAGCAGACTCTGACAGCTCTCAACTCCAAAACAGCCTTCTACCAGGACCAGATGAACTATTATGATACTTACATCAAGACCTGCCTGGACAACCTCAACAGAAAGTAAGTCGTTCATTTACTTCTTGCACTTTGTCAGGAGAAGTTTTTAGAATTATTTATTTTCACTGTGTAAATAATGTCGTGTGGATGGTTTGGTGGATTTCAAAATGTATTGTGTTTATTACTAATGCATTCCTGTGTTTTGTGTGACCAGGAATGCACGCCGATCTATAAAGCTGGACAGCAAAGGAGAAAATAAGGGCAGCAAGAAGTGGAAGCCCCAGTCTCTGAAGTACACTGGAGCAAGGCTTCATGAGAAGGGAGTCATCCTGGAGATAGAAGGACTTCAGACCAACCAGTGAGTTATCTGATCAGCTTGGTGTTTAATGTAACTCTTTACCATGGCTCAGACTTTGTTACTTACAGTCACACAACTCTTAGTGAAGTTTCTCATTTTAGATTGTGGCATGTAGAGACGTTTTGATAACCGTGTCGATGAACACATCTGTCCTCCAATCAACCTTTATATCATTAACAAAAAATGTGTGTGGGTTTTATCCAAACAAGATTATGTAGTTTCTACATACTTAAGAATATGATTATGTTTTTCCAAGAAGAGGAAAGATGTCTGTTGACTAGTTAATTAACTGGTTCCTGTTACATGTTCTTTGTTCATGCTCTTTATCGTTTTTCTGAGTTGGAAAGTTAGATTGCATCATACAGTAGTTTATACATATTTTAACGAAATATACTGTATACAAGGTAGGTGGGGTAGGTAAGTTTGAGAAACCGGCTCGAGATATACTTTTTGTTATATTCCATGGAATGCTCTTAGTAATGCCTACCTGCCTGTCAGCCTTCCATCTGTGCACAAACTTATCTCGTGCCCTCATTGGTCATGTGCGCGTTCGTGTGTGTGTTGGAGGAGGGGCTCTGTAAGGAAGTGGCAGATTTTTTCCGGCTGTGTATTTTCAAATTCTAGCGCACTCGAGCTGGTTTCTCCAAAATGACCTACCCCACCCTTAAATGTGAGGCAGACAGATATCAAATATATCCAAGCTAATTTAAGCTGATTTGAGTCCTGTGAAAAAATGACTTGTATTTTTTTAGTTTTTGTTTGTGTTTTTGTTTAATATAATAACATGGTTTTTTGCTTTGTTGTCACTTTGTCATTAATCTCTGTCTATTGCCTCTCTCTCTTCTTTCAGGTTCAAAAATGTCATGTTTGACATTTCACCCACTGAGGAAGTTGGAGATTTTCAAGTGAAGGCCAAATTTATGGGAGTTGAGATGGAAAAAGTCCAGCTTCATTTCCAGGTATACATTTACCTCTTGATTCCCTGGAACAAAGCAGCTCACCAGTCAGCATTAAGCCTTGATGACAGACACTTAAATGCCATTTTCAACCCATTAGACAATTAAAGAAACAGCGCAAACTATTTCTAATGAAGAGGACAGCAGTGGACACATTTGTTTTAATGAATCTGTATGAACAAACATACTGTATAAACAAAGGTGTGCATAGAGACCGGGCTGTACTACAAATGTTACTACATCAATACAAACTTAATATAATATCTTTATCTGCTACCATATAGACAGGGTTCATTACTTAAAAGGTATGCAAACATGCCACATTAGTACCTTATCTCTATGAAGTGTGTGTGTGTGTGTGTGTGTGTGTGTGTGTGTGTGTGTGTGTGTGTGTGTGTGTGTGTGTGTGTGTGTGTGTGTGTGTGTGTGTGTGTGTGTGTGTGTGTGTGTGTGTGTGTGTGTGTGTGTGTGTGTGTGTGTGTGTGTGTGTGTGTGTGTGTGTGTGTGTGTGTGTGTGTGTGTGTGTGTGTGTGTGTGTGTGTGTGTTGTGTGTGTGTGTGTGTGTGTGTGTGTGTGTGTGTGTGTGTGTGTGTGTGTGTGTGTGTGTGTGTGTGTGTGTGTGTGTGTGGTGTGTGTGTGTGTGTGTGTGTGTGTGTGTGTGTGTGTGTGTGTGTGTGTGTGTGTGTGTGTGTGTGTGTGTGTGTGTGTTTTCTCATTGAATGTGTTTGTATTCTGTTTCCAGGACCTCCTTCAGCTGCAGTACGAAGGCGTGGCCGTCATGAAGATGTTCGACAAAGCCAAAGTCAACGTCAATTTACTCATCTTCCTCCTAAATAAAAAATTCTATGGAAAATGACAAAGTGAAGGGAGGAAAAGCAACAAAGAGGAAACAGATTGTGCCTTCTGATTGTGCTGAGCTTGTGGAACAAAATGAATTTAGCCAGATAACACGAGATGGGGCAGGACAGTGTTTTGTATTGTACCCTCCTCTTATAATTTTAAGGATCACACCAAAATCTAATGCTGTTGTCCAACTTAATGTATCAGCTCTGTATTTTTTCATGTGGTAATTGTAAATGTAATGTATTTTTAAGATTTAAATTGTAATGATATTCATGTTTTGTATGTAAAAACTGTCCCATGTATGTTGAAACAACTGTGGATTAGTTCAGAAATCCAGCTGGGGAGCAGATTTTCAGCCGGCCTGTATCATTCTATAAAATACTGTAGTTTACCACAGTGCCTTTTAATTAAAGTGTGTAAAGAAACATGTTTTAATAAATAAAACATCAAAAATATTTAAAAGCTACAACGGATGAATTTGTACTATGTGTTATCAAGAAGTGATTGCTAAGGTTTAATTATTTAAATGTGCAGAATAAATAACATGTTTTTTTATCAACTACTTTGACTAGTTTTAGTTTAATCTGCTAACCTCCCACTGGGACACATTACTTCTCTGCAGAGAGGGAGAGACGGAGTATTTACCACAATAACATGTTTGATGCTGAAGAATAACACACTGATCCTGTGGTTACAAGGACTTTTGTTGCACATTTTTACTTTTTTTTTTTTAAATCGACAGTTTTAATAAACGATTTCTATTTATAGTTTATAAAACAAGTTGTTTTGAAAGTTGTCAATCTTTGCACTGAAATGCCGGCGGATGTAACTTTAACATTGTTTTGTTACCATGGAAACGAGTCGGGGAGGAACGCTGAGAGCTCGTAAAAAGTTTGAACACAAACCAACGACAGAAGCAGGAGGAAGAGAGTCAGATCTGGAAACATTTTTAATTTAATCTACTCCGCCGTGAAAACTTTAAAAACAACAAAGAGTCATGACCTCCAGGAGCGTCCGTAAGAAGCAGCTGTTACAGCGTTCACGGTGAGTGTGTGTGTGTGTGGAGCCAGTGTTGTGTGTGTGTTGTTGGCGATGTACTCTGCCTGCGTGTTGAGGTGGGAGAAGTAGGCTACTCGGATCTGGTATTTGAGTAAAAGTAGAAGTACCAGAGTGTAGGAATACTACTCTGTTACAAGTAAAAGTCCTGCATCAAAATATTACTCAAGTAAAAATACAAAAAAGCATCAAAATATACTTAAAGGTGGGGTAGGTAATTTCGGAGAAACCAGCTCGAGTGCGCTAGAATTTGAAAATACACAACCGGAGAAAATCTGCCACTTCATTACAGAGGCCCTCCTCCAACACACACGAACGCGCACATGACCAATGAGGGCACGAGATAAGTTTGTGCACAGATGGAAGGCTGACAGGCAGGTAGGCCATCCAGTTATTTTAGCCGGGCCGGCTAAAACGATTGGTCGTGCTTTTCACAGTACTGTTTGCTGTCTACGGGTCTGATTCTGCTGACCACGCCCCCCTGCAGGAGAGGGGAGCCGCTCTGATCAGCTGCTGGGCTGTCAGAAGAGGGGGAGAAAAAGAGATCTCCGTCCTCCGTGTTTTATTATAGCCTATATAGAGTCGTTATTCATTTGTTTTAAAGCTCAATAAATATCAAAGAAGACCTTTGACCGGCACTTTTCTAATTTTGTCCGTAAGATTTAAACTTTAACGGACATCTTGACCGGCGAAAGAAACTGAAACTGAAACTCTGCCGCACGGTCCCCTCGTTCCTTGGAAGAGGCGGAGAGGTGGGTGTTTGTCATCTGCTGGTGGACTAACCGGAGATAATTACAGTGCTTGCCTCGACGGTGAGGGATTGCATTGAATTAAAGCAGCGGGAGCAAACGCTTGCCTTGGGGAGGGAGAAAAAAAAGCCACAGCGGAGAATAAACAGAAGGGTAACCATGGTAACTATGGGCGGGAAGTCTTCTTCGCTGCTTTTGTGGCAGACTACAGCGCCACTTACAGGCCTGGCATATGTACTACAGCGTCTCCAGCGCTTTCGAGCGGCAATGGCCGGCCGTGGCCCAACCCCCACATTCCCCTGATAGGTGGAGAGTTGGCCCAATAGCCGTAGCGCCACTTCTGTGACGACATAGAAGTGTTCAAATCTGGATCAGTCTGTATCAGATCCGTTGCAGCCCCTTTTTTAGAGATTTGGGTATGGAGGAAAATAGAGAGGGTTGTGTTTTCTGACACTTGGTGAGTTCCCTGGAACACCGGGGACACATATTCATGTATAAAAGACGTACAAAAGTGCATTTTGCATGATAGGTCCCCTTTAAATGTTTCCATCTTATGCTCTGTAAGTTTGTTTCGTAACGGAAGAAATGTAAATATATTTATAAAACGGACAAGTCAAATCAAGCAATCTGATTGGTCGATAGCGTTTTTGCGGACCTTTTTGATTACAGATTTGAAAACATCGTTGCTTGCTTTAAAAGTAGCGCAATTCATTATGTCAAACCTTGGAAAGTATCTAGATATCCCTGCCCTAATGCCAAAGGAACTGCACACTGAATATGTTTTTCCATTTGATGTCTATGTCTGGACCGCTGCGTAAAAAGGAGGGTTTCTGCCCCGTTACTTCTCCGCTGTTTTCTTGTCCCAGTTTGAAAAGCAGTTTGCTTTTCAGCCCAACTGTATAGAGAGGCGAAGTCCCTCCCTTTCCGGGGGGGCTCCATGGGACCTTATTTCGGAAAAAGTATGTATTGAAGTCAATGGGGAGAGAAAGATTATCTTTCGATTCCGTTTGAATTGAGCCACGAATTACACATATGATGTTTGTCAATTTAAAAGATAATTTTGCAAGTAAAAAAAATAAAAATGTGTCGTAAAACTGTGAAGTAACACTTTTTTTTTCTGTGAAACCGCTCAATGAACTACATCTCCGTCTCGCACCACACACCAAGACGGCCGTCACGTTGGCACATTTCACCTCTTTCTTTCAGAATGAGGCGAAAAGTATTAAAATAGGTGAAAATCACTACAAGTCTGGGCATGTTGAGAGCTGTACATACCAGAGGTGTGGACTCGAGTCACATGACTTGGACTCGATTCAGACTCGAGTCACCAATTTGATGACTTTGGACTCGACTTGACAAAATCACAAAACACTTGCGACTCGACTTGGACTTGAACACCAATGACTCGGGACTTGACTTGGACTTGAGCCCTCTGACTTGAGGTGACTTGATAATTTAAATCAGGGGTCTCCAACACGCCGATCGCGAGCTGCCGTTCAGAAGAGCAGACTCGCGTCGGGAAGAGCAGAATCTCCAGCCGCTGCAACTCTTGCTGAGAATCCATGCAGGCAGGGGCGGGTCTTTATTTAGCTGGGCCACCATGCGGCCAATCATATGTGAGGACACACTAGGATCATACCATTATGTGAAAGAAGGGTGGGGGGCAGACGCTCCAAAGACAGCAGGTGTAGTGGTACAGGCCAGCTACACAGAGCGACGGGGAGACGGATTTAAATGCAAGCGCGTCGGAAAAAGTCAAGAAATTAGCGAAAACCGAAAAAAGAAGTAGCATCTGGCTGCATTTCAATGATATTGGAGAAAGCAAAGCTGAGTGCAGGATTTGTAAAATGAAAATAACCTTCAGAGCAGGGTTTTTTTTTGGTAACCACTCAGGATTTATTGCCAGAGGTGGGAGAAGTTCAGATCTTGTACTTGAGTAAAAGTACCAGAGTGTAGGAATACTCGGTTACAATAAAAGATCCTGCATTCAAAATGTTACAAGTAAAAGTACAAAAGTATTAGCATCAAAATACAGTTAAAGTACCACCTGCAGAGGGATCTAGATTCAGGTGTTCTTTTCCCATAAAGACCGCCTCGCTGCACATTATCCCTTGCATAAAGATAGGTTGTGGGTCCCTTATAACATGTTGTACACGGTGGAAATAAACATTCTGGTTACCTCAACATCAGGGATCTTGTACATTAAACTCCTTCTGAATCAAACCGTCACGGTAGCATTACATTACTGATCCATCTTACAATAGAAGAAAACACGTTACTTTACCAGCAGAGAGAAAATAGATTATTACAGTATTAATGTGACTAATAAAGAGCAGTTTAATTATTAAGTATTATTCTGTTGATGGGTGTCATTACATTTGGTGAAAAGCACATAATGACTTGTTTAAGACTCGTTTTGTCAAAGTTTAGGACTTGGACTTGACTTGAACTTGCCCATCCTGACTTGAGACTTGACTTGGACTTGAGCACAAAGACTTGAGACTTGACTCGGACTTGAGCGCAAAGACTTGAGACTTGACTCGGACTTGCAAAACAATGACTTGGTCCCACCTCTGGTACATACACACAAGGGGAGTTAGTCGGTTCCATAAGAGCCAGCATGCAGGACCGGGATTCTGGGATTTGGAGTCTTTCTAGTTGCGTATTTTTCATAGTCTTATATTTCAACAGTTTTACTACAAACTGTGACTTTTTTGACATGGAAATTATTTGTTAAGATTGACAAACATCATATGTGTAATTCATGGCACAATTCAAACGGAATCGAAAGATAATCTCTCTCTCCCCATTGACTTCAATACATATGTTTTCCGAAATAAGGTCCCATGGGTCGGAAGTAGATGGGCGGGACTTCGCCTCTCAGTTTTTCTCAGACGCGGAGGGATACTGACTTGTTATGAAAAGTAACTACAATTCTACCCGTGGTATACGCTCAGTATATCACGGCTAAGAACCAATCAGATTGCTTGATTTGACTTGTCCGTTTTATAAAGGCTATTTATGTTTTGATTATAATTATTGATGCATTAATGTGTTACCAAAGCTGGTAAAGGTGCAGCTAGTTTTAATGACATTGTATACTGCAGGGTAGCTTGTGAATTTACTCCAGGTGTGACTAAAGTGTTGATTATATTTCACATTATTGATCCAAATCTGCAAAGTAACTAAAGGTATTAAATAGATGTAGTGGAGTAAAAGTACACAATTTAAGCTACTTCTGAATTGTAGTGGGGTAGAAGTACAAAGTAGCAACACATTTATATACTCAAGTAAAGTACAAGTAACCATACTGTATGTATACAGGCGTGTGGAGGGGAGCGCTGAGCGGGCAGCAGCCCACAGGAGCTCTTCCATCTTCGATATGCTAAAAAAACGCAGTGAAGTCCAAGACCTGGACAACGAGAACCAGGAGAAGCAAGAAGTAGGTTAACAGGAACTCACGATACTTACAATAACTTATACACACACCTTCTTAAATATCCAAAACCTTTTCATGACGTGGCATTTTATTTTTATTAAAAAACATGTGTTGATCATTGCCTATAATCTGCACGATTAGTTGGATCATTATTGAGATTAGGATTATTCTTTTTTTATAAATGACAAAACATTTTTATTGCACTTTGAAACTTCAGTGTTCCTTTTTTTAAATCCAAACCACTATATCGCATTTTCTGTTGTGTTTCTACTGTATCCACAAAAATATATCCATATTTCTAACCACATACAATATATGATCTTTCAATAATATTACCAAAAAAACTAAACATTTTGTAAATATTTAAGACCCTGAGCTCTGGGAAGTATCCACCAGTATTTGTAATTGTGATTCGTGCTAGTCAGTTTTCTCCAGGTATCTGCTTAACCCAGAGTGACATCCATCTAAATCCATATATTTGTAATTCCTTCATTAAAGGTGGGGTACTGTAGGTAATTTTGGAGAAACCAGCTCGAGTGCGCTTGAATTTGAAAATACACAGTCGGAAAAAATCTGCCACTTCCTTACAGAGCCCCTCCTCCAACACACACGAACGCGCACATGACCAATGAGGGCACGAGATAAGTTTGTGCACAGATGGAAGGCTGACAGGCAGGTAGGCCATCCAGTTATTTTAGCCGGGCCGGCTCAGATGATTGGTCGTGCTTTTTACAGTAGGCCTACTACGGCTTCCACAGATGACATTTTTTTATGGATTTTTTGTCAAAGCACTTAAGATATTCATTGCTATCGGGATGTTAAGAGCATTCCATGGAATATAACACAAAGTGTATCTCGAGCCGGTTTCTCAAACTTACCTACCCCACCTTTAATAGCTCATCGTGTCAAATGCTATTATTAACAAATCGAACAGTTACCAAGTGTTGATGTTTCCCACGCAGTGTAACTTTCTGATTTAATGCTCAATGTCCTGACTTACCATCATAAATGTTCCCAAGTCATGTTTGCCTACTATGTGTGTCTCATTATAGGAACTGGAGAATTTGCAACAGCGTGAAGCTGAGTTGCAGGAGAAGATTAAGAAAGCTAACAAGATGAACCTCAGCTTTGAGAAGATTCTCAGGGTACAGTGAAGGACCATTTCACACACAATTCCTGTATGAAACTGTACCTAACGTTACTTATTTGATTTTAGTGTCATAGCTGGAACTGAAAACACTAAACTAAATCTCTCCATCTCCCTCCCTGCAGGACCAGTATACTGAATGTTCAGAGAGAGCAACGAGGGAGAGGAAAGAGGTTCTTCATCTGGATGCAGAGCATGAGAGGCTGGTGGTGGAGTTAGCTGAAGAGCTGCAGAGCAAACAGGAGCGAGAGCGCCAGCTAGTGAAACTCACTCCGTACGCTGTGAACTTCGAGCGGGCGGCCAAGTTGACCAAGGTACTGCAAGGGATTTTTTTAGAAGGTAGAGAATCTAATTTAAACATGTTTATTGTACAGGAATAGTCTGTGTGTGAAATCATAACAATTACTTTTATAATTGTTTTGATCTTTCTAAATCTTGTCTCTTGATGATGTCCTCAACAGTATTCACACACATTTAATATATGGCATTGTTGTGTGGAAAAGCCTTTCTGTCTCTTTCTTCCTCCAGGTTTATGCTATATTTAAAAAAAAAATCATGGTATGATGTTTGCAGGTGTGGTCCATAAAGTGTATTGATTAGATAATGAATTTGAAATAATGGAGTTACATTGTGTGTGGTTTCTATGTGTGTCTGTTACAGTTTAAGGATGCAAAGAGCCTCGCAGATCATACGGAGAACCTTCTCCGCATTCGAGAGAGTCACCTTCAGCAGGACCTGAAGAAGCGTGAGAAGTATGACGAGCTGAGGAGAACCCTGCAGTCAAACCAAGAACAGCATCGCCTCATGCGTCTGCAGAAGAACTACGAGCTGTCCCAGATGGAGGTGGAGCATGAGAAAGAGCGCTCTGAAGTTCTGGAATGGGTACGAGAGCTGACCCCGGGTCAAAGTCCGGCATCAAAGCTAACACCAAATCAAATGATGATCTTCTGTGTGAAATGAAGTTGTCCCTGTCCCCACACAGGAGAGGAAGTGGAACCACATTCAGGAAACCGCATCAAAGAAAACACTTCTCCTGGGACAAATCAAGATGGCGACACTCAACCTCTACGAAATGACGTGTCAAGACGAAAAGGCAGATGAAGTGGTTGATATAAACGACACAGAGAAACAGCTGGACCAGGTGTGTACCCCAACAGAGCAGAGATGGAGGTAAAAAGCAGACAAAATATACACTTGTAATTTTTTTACTGTCTCCTCAGGTTAAGACGTTCATGCAAGACAGCGACGACATGGTAACAATATCAGACTTCTTCACAGAGACAAGATGGAAAGAAAAGAGACAAAAAGAGCTTTCCAAGTCACAGTAAAAAAAAGGCTTCAAAGTAACCTTTACCATGAGTCTCCTCACAGCTTTAGAACTGCATTTGCTGAGATGGAACTAAATAATTAAAGTGTGTTTATCTAATGTTAAACTCTGTGAGTTTCATTAACTGTTAACTTGTAGACACTGAACTTCAATACACTTGAACACTGAATGCAATCAAATATTGTCCATTTATCTCATCATTGTTATTAAAATGGCTTGATCATAAATTCTGAAATGGTTCTGATAGTGGTAGCTAAACATTTGAGGGTGACTTTTTCATAAAGTCTATCCAGTTGCAATTTCAGATAACTTATACAGTTAGTTTATTCAATCCTAAGCTTCTCCTCTCAGCACAATATCATGTAGACTTTGAATCATCAGGATAAAGGTCCGGTGCTGCCACCTCGTGTCTCTTAAAGAAAACAGCAATCTGTTGTAACTTGTTTTATTGATCAGATCTCAGAACAGCTTCTGATGGGTCTTTGTCTTTCACGGCACTTTTGACCCCTCTACAGACATACGGTCACTTAATGGTAGGAAAACAGTGAACAATAACAAAAGATTAACATTTATATATGGACATTCAATTTTATATATTGGCCTACAGTATTATCCACAATAGTGAAATGTAACTATTTACTTAAGTACCATACTTATATTGAATGTCGAGGTACAGGTATTTTATTATTTTCAATTATATATACATTGTTCTTCTGCTCCGCTACATCTCAGAGGCACATATTGTGCTTTTAACTCCATTATATTTTGGGATAGCTGTCGGCTAGTTAACTTTAAATATGATGTTGATATATGTATGATTATGTATAAAGATGAGACGTGGTGATTTTCAGAAGCCAATCAGCATTATGGTAAAAATAAAAAGGTTGTCTGCAACATTAAAGCGATAGACCTTGATATACCTATATATCAATAGGAATAAGCCAATAATATAATATAAAATGTACCATTCTGCTCAATGAGTAGGCCTACCTTTCCCTTTTTGAACCTAAAACATTTTTGGATCCTAACCCTTTTTTTGATTCAAGTGAATCGTAGGAATTAGACAGTGAGCGGATAATAATGAAGTTTTATTCTGAAATGAATGACATGTCATGTCCTAAAGGCATTGTTGTAAAAACAGGCTGTTTTGACACCACAGTTTTCAAAACGCATTTCAGTACATCATCTTTTTTTATAGGTTTAAAAGTAGATATGTAAAATCTAAAATCACACGACTTACCAGTTTTCATAGCATATTATGATGATGATCAAAACAAAACTAGTACATTTTACATATATTTTTGCTTAAAACTAATGTTGCTGCTGCTGCTCACTCTGTGCCCTCTTTGTTGTCGGGGCACAGCTCTGAAACACAGGAAGACAGAAGATAAACTTTAGGATAACACAGAAATCTTGGAGAATATCTGCAGTATTTCCATTTTTCTGATCGTGTGCATTGTACCTTATCTACTTAAAATGATCTGTATAAAAACACAATATTTAAATGTTACACCGTGTGGCAACTTGAGTACGTTCTTGTGTCCGCTTAACACACAGATTCAGCTTTGTTTTTATTTATTTATAACAGTCATTTTACTGAAGACTCACTGACCTGTTTTGCCGTCGTAGCTGTGGAAGTTCTCTGGGAAGCTCAGACACCCAACTTGAAAATGTCAACATCTTCAGGATCAATTTTTCCATTCCTTGCTGGAAAAAGGGTTGAAACTCAGAGATGAATTGTAAAATCTGATGAGGAACATACTGAACTGCAGGATGTATCTACCGGTGACGTCTCCATTTTGAAAGGTGTCCGTCCACAGCAGGCAGTCGGAGCAGCTCTGAAGGATATGACCTTTGTGGTCTGACAGATTTTCTTTAAAGACAGCAGAGCGACTGATTATATTTTTCACATGAAGATCAATTTCCAATGCTCCTACTGTAATCTTGTTAATAGCATGCTAGAGAAATAAGCTGCTTTACCTTATGTCAGGAGTTACTTACTGCGAAATGTGGTGGCGATGCCTGAGACTGTTGCATTCACCTCCCCTGAGATACACCGATTACTGGGAAACAAGAAGATGCTGGGCCAGAGTTTTGTTTTTTCAAAAGCTTCACATTTAAATAGTAAAACAATTGGTTCATTGTTTTATACCACATTTCATTCTGCAATGTTAAACTGATTTTTACTCTTATATTTTATAAATACTGCTGCTACTAACAGCGATGTGTTCTTCTGTAAATTGAAATTATTTGTATTATTCTTGTTTTAAATACTATGTGCATGCCTTTTATCTAATATTGTCCTCTCTATCTTGCTGTAACAATGTACATTTTCCCTGTGTGGAATGATTAAAGGAATGTATATCGTTTTTATCCACTACATTTATTCAATACCTTAAGTTACTTTGCAGATTTGGATTAATGATAGAAATATAATCAAAACTTACACCTGGAGTAAATTCACAAGCTACCCTGCCGTATACAAAGTAATTTAAATTAGCTATACCTTTATCAGCTGTGATAACATTTGAATGCATCAATAATTATAATCAGAACATAGAATATATATTATTCTGCTAGGGCAATTTGCACAATGAGTACTTTTACTTTTGGTATTGTAAGTTTACTTGAATGCTTATACTTTTGTACTTTTACTGGAGTAACATGTTAAACGCAGGACTTTTACTTGTAACAGAGTATTCCTACACTCTGGTACTTCTTCTTTTACTTAAGTACAATATCTTACTACTTGTCCCACCCTCCAATGCTAAACACATTGTTGTGTCTGCTCAGCTTCTGAAGTTGTGAAGTGGTACTAAAACCTGTGATTGACAGGACATTCGCTACCAAAGACGCTACAGACAGAGGAGGAAGGCGGAGCTGGTGAAGCTCCAGCAGACTCTGACAGCTCTCAACTCCAAAACAGCCTTCTACCAGGACCAGATGAACTATTATGATACTTACATCAAGACCTGCCTGGACAACCTCAACAGAAAGTAAGTCGTTCATTTACTTCTTGCACTTTGTCAGGAGAAGTTTTTAGAATTATTTATTTTCACTGTGTAAATAATGTCGTGTGGATGGTTTGGTGGATTTCAAAATGTATTGTGTTTATTACTAATGCATTCCTGTGTTTTGTGTGACCAGGAATGCACGCAGATCTATAAAGCTGGACAGCAAAGGAGAAAATAAGGGCAGCAAGAAGTGGAAGCCCCAGTCTCTGAAGTACACTGGAGCAAGGCTTCATGAGAAGGGAGTCATCCTGGAGATAGAAGGACTTCAGACCAACCAGTGAGTTATCTGATCAGCTTGGTGTTTAATGTAACTCTTTACCATGGCTCAGACTTTGTTACTTACAGTCACACAACTCTTAGTGAAGTTTCTCATTTTAGATTGTGGCATGTAGAGACGTTTTGATTACCGTGTCGATGAACACATCTATCCTCCAATCAACCTTTATATCATTAACAAAAAATGTGTGTGGGTTTTATCCAAACAAGATTATGTAGTTTCTACATACTTAAGAATATGATTATGTTTTTCCAAGAAGAGGAAAGATGTCTGTTGACTAGTTAATTAACTGGTTCCTGTTACATGTTCTTTGTTCATGCTCTTTATCGTTTTTCTGAGTTGGAAAGTTAGATTGCATCATAGTTTATACATATTTTAACGAAATATACTGTATACAAGGTAGGACAAGGTAGGTGGGGTAGGTAAGTTTGAGAAACCGGCTCGAGATATACTTTTTGTTATATTCCATGGAATGCTCTTAACATCCCGATAGCAATGAATATCTTAAGTGCTTTGACAAAAAATCCATAAAAAGATTTCATCTGTGGAAGCCGTAGTACTGTAAAAAGCACGACCAATCATTTTAGCCGGCCCGGCTAAAATAACTGGATGGCCTACCTGCCTGTCAGCCTTCCATCTGTGCACAAACTTATCTCGTGCCCTCATTGGTCATGTGCGCGTTCGTGTGTGTGTTGGAGGAGGGGCTCTGTAAGGAAGTGGCAGATTTTTTCCGGCTGTGTATTTTCAAATTCTAGCACACTCGAGCTGGTTTCTCCAAAATGACCTACCCCACCTTTAAATGTAAGGCAGACAGATATCAAATATATCCAAGCTAATTTAAGCTGATTTGAGTCCTGTGAAAAAATGACTTGTATTTTTTTAGTTTTTGTTTGTGTTTTTGTTTAATATAATAACATGGTTTTTTGCTTTGTTGTCACTTTGTCATTAATCTCTGTCTATTGCCTCTCTCTTCTTTCAGGTTCAAAAATGTCATGTTTGACATTTCACCCACTGAGGAAGTTGGAGATTTTCAAGTGAAGGCCAAATTTATGGGAGTTGAGATGGAAAAAGTCCAGCTTCATTTCCTGGTATACATTTACCTCTTGATTCCCTGGAACAAAGCAGCTCACCAGTCAGCATTAAGCCTTGATGACAGACACTTAAATGCCATTTTCAACCCATTAGACAATTAAAGAAACAGCGCAAACTATTTCTAATGAAGAGGACAGCAGTGGACACATTTGTTTTAATGAATCTGTATGAACAAACATACTGTATAAACAAAGGTGTGCATAGAGACCGGGCTGTACTACAAATGTTACTACATCAATACAAACTTAATATAATATCTTTATCTGCTACCATATAGACAGGGTTCATTACTTAAAAGGTATGCAAACATGCCACATTAGTACCTTATCTCTATGAATGACGTGTGTGTGTGTGTGTGTGTGTGTGTGTGTGTGTGTGTGTGTGTGTGTGTGTGTGTGTGTGTGTGTGTGTGTGTGTGTGTGTGTGTGTGTGTGTGTGTGTGTGTGTGTGTGTGTGTGTGTGTGTGTGTGTGTGTGTGTGTGTGTGTGTGTGTGTGTGTGTGTGTGTGTGTGTGTGTGTGTGTGTGTGTGTTTTCTCATTGAATGTGTTTGTATTCTGTTTCCAGGACCTCCTTCAGCTGCAGTACAAAGGCGTGGCCGTCATGAAGATGTTCGACAAAGCCAAAGTCAACGTCAATTTACTCATCTTCCTCCTAAATAAAAAATTCTATGGAAAATGACAAAGTGAAGGGAGGAAAAGCAACAAAGAGGAAACAGATTGTGCCTTCTGATTGTGCTGAGCTTGTGGAACAAAATTAATTCAGCCAGATAACACGAGATGGGGCAGGACAGTGTTTTGTATTGTACCCTCCTCTTATAATTTTAAGGATCACACCAAAATCTAATGCTGTTGTCCAACTTAATGTATCAGCTCTGTATTTTTTCATGTGGTAATTGTAAATGTAATGTATTTTTAAGATTTAAATTGTAATGATATTCATGTTTTGTATGTAAAAACTGTCCCATGTATGTTGAAACAACTGTGGATTAGTTCAGAAATCCAGCTGGGGAGCAGATTTTCAGCCGGCCTGTATCATTCTATAAAATACTGTAGTTTACCACAGTGCCTTTTAATTAAAGTGTGTAAAGAAACATGTTTTAATAAATAAAACATCAAAAATATTTAAAAGCTACAACGGATGAAGTTGTACTATGTGTTATCAAGAAGTGATTGCTAATGTTTAAATTATTTAAATGTGCAGAATAAATAACATGTTTTTTTATCAACTACTTTGACTAGTTTTAGTTTAATCTGCTAACCTCCCACTGGGACACATTACTTCTCTGCAGAGAGGGAGAGACGGAGTATTTACCACAATAACATGTTTGATGCTGAAGAATAACACACTGATCCTGTCGCTCCAAGGACTTTTGTTGCACATTTTTACTTTTTTTTTTTTAAATCGACAGTTTTAATAAACGATTTCTATTTATAGTTTATAAAACAAGTTGTTTTGAAAGTTGTCAATCTTTGCACTGAAATGCCGGCGGATGTAACTTTAACATTGTTTTGTTACCATGGAAACGAGTCGGGGAGGAACGCTGAGAGCTCGTAAAAAGTTTGAACACAAACCAACGACAGAAGCAGGAGAAAGAGAGTCAGATCTGGAAACATTTTTAATTTAATCTACTCCGCCGTGAAAACTTTAAAAACAACAAAGAGTCATGACCTCCAAGAGCGTCCGTAAGAAGCAGCTGTTACAGCGTTCACGGTGAGTGTGTGTGTGTGTGTGGAGCCAGTGTTGTGTGTGTGTTGTTGGCGATGTGCTCTGCCTGCGTGTTGAGGTGGGAGAAGTAGGCTACTCAGATCTGGTATTTGAGTAAAAGTAGAAGTACCAGAGTGTAGGAATACTACTCTGTTACAAGTAAAAGTCCTGCATCAAAATGTTACTCAAGTAAAAATACAAAAAAGCATCAAAATATACTTAAAGGTGGGCATGTGGCGTTTTTATATGTACAAAAGTGGTGGGGCACAAAAAACGTAGATGTCTATATATAAGCTTCTGCAGTGACGTGCAGTGAGGTTCATGGCTGGTGAGGCACTGGCACTGACTCTTCAGGTTTACAAATATTATATTTTGACCTAAACCAAAATATAATATTATTTTCAAAAGCTTTTTTTGTCTGATGCTTCGATTAATTTTAAACAGACAGTTCAACAAAAGGATACCCAAAAAATGTAATTTTATCATTTAAATATTGAATTGTTCTCTCTTAGTAAGATCCCATTTCAATCAAATTGCGGTCTTACCTTGACTTGAAGATGAAGTCCATTTGCCTATCCTTCTGGACAAAAATGTCTATAACTTTTTTGTAAAAGTCCTCCTTATGTTCTTGTAGTTTCAAAAGTCTATCATAAATCTAATCCATAGATTTATGATAAAAAAATTATAAAAGTAGGGTAGACATGTGGATGTTATCCGGCTGATCAAAACGTGCATTTATCTAACAGGTACGTTTCCCACAGATCTTATTTCCAGCTATTTTCTAAAATCCTCTGGAGAAATCTCATTGCTTTTTTGTCGAGGGAAGCCATGCGCAGCTTACTTCCTGGTTTTAGGACGCGTCACTGCAGCTCTCTCGTCTCCTCTTCACACACCACACTTTTCGCGGCACACGTACTTACAGCCAATCAGCTCTGAATGATTTGAGATGACGTATGGTGGGGATGGTAGCTCCATGCCCCTCTGGTCATTATTTTTTTGCCACACACATTTCATTACAAAATACTCTGAGCATGCGCAGTGTAGTTTTTACAGTCACCGTTGACTTCACAGCGAGAGGGAGGGGCATAATCAGGTTTTGTCCCACATGGCTCTAAACAGCTCAATAGGCACACACTGTGACTGTAGACACACTAATTAGAAGAACACAGACTAAAACAGCAATGTACAGACGAATCAGATGATTAAACATGATCTTAAAATATATTTTATATATTTTTTTATTTATTTTTTTGCATTTTTGTAATCATTATTTGTAATACTTTCTGCTGACACTAGGTGGGGCTGTGCCCCACCTGCCCCTAATGACCAGTCGCCACTGAAGGTGGGGTAGGTAATTTCGGAGAAACCAGCTCGAGTGCGCTAGAATTTGAAATTGCACAACCAGAGAAAATCTGCCACTTCATTACAGAGCCCCTCCTCCAACACACACGAACGCGCACATGACCAATGAGGGCACGAGATAAGTTTGTGCACAGATGGAAGGCTGACAGGCAGGTAGGCCATCCAGTTATTTTAGCCGGGCCGGCTAAAACGATTGGTCGTGCTTTTTACAGTACTGTTTGCTGTCTACGGGTCTGATTCTGCTGACCACGACCCCCTGCAGGAGAGGTGAGCCGTGCTCTGATCAGCTGCTGGGCTGTCAGAAGAGGGGGAGAAAAAGAGATCTCTGTCCTCCGTGTTTTATTATATAGAGTCGTTATTCATTTGTTTTAAAGCTCAATAAATATCAAAGAAGACCTTTGACCGGCACTTTTCTAATTTTGTCCGGAAGATTTAAACTTTAACGGACATCTTGACTGGCGAAAGAAACTGAAACTGAAACTCTGCCGCACGGTCCCCTCGTTCCTTGGAAGAGGCGGAGAGGTGGGTGTTTGTCATCTGCTGGTGGACTAACCGGAGAGAATTACAGTGCTTGCCTCGACGGGGAGGGATTGCATTGAATTAAAGCAGCGGGAGCAAACGCTTGCCTTGGGGAGGGAGAAAAAACAAGCCACAGTGGAGAATAAACAGAAGGGTAACCATGGTAACTATGGGCGGGAAGTCTTCTTTGCTGCTTTTGTGGCAGACTACAGCGCCACTTACAGGCCTGGCATATGTACTACAGCGTCTCCAGCGCTTTCGAGCGGCAATGGCCGGCCGTGGCCCAACCCCCACATTCCCCTGATAGGTGGAGAGTTGGCCCAATAGCCGTAGCGCCACTTCTGTGACGACATAGAAGTGTTCAAATCTGGATCAGTCTGTATCAGATCCGTTGCAGCCCCTTTTTTAGAGATTTGGGTATGGAGGAAAATAGAGAGGGTTGTGTTTTCTGACACTTGGTGAGTTCCCTGGAACACCGGGGACACATATTCATGTATAAAAGACGTACAAAAGTGCATTTTGCATGATAGGTCCCCTTTAAATGTTTCCATCTTATGCTCTGTAAGTTTGTTTCGTAACGGAAGAAATGTAAATATATTTATAAAACGGACAAGTCAAATCAAGCAATCTGATTGGTCGATAGCGTTTTTGCGGACCTTTTTGATTACAGATTTGAAAAACATCGTTGCTTGCTTTAAAAGTAGCGCAATTCATTATGTCAAACCTTGGAAAGTATCTAGATATCCCTGCCCTAATGCCAAAGGAACTGCACACTGAATATGTTTTTCCATTTGATGTCTATGTCTGGACCGCTGCGTAAAAAGGAGGGTTTCTGCCCCGTTACTTCTCCGCTGTTTTCTTGTCCCAGTTTGAAAAGCAGTTTGCTTTTCAGCCCAACTGTATAGAGAGGCGAAGTCCCTCCCTTTCCGGGGGGGCTCCATGGGACCTTATTTCGGAAAATGTATGTATTGAAGTCAATGGGGAGAGAAAGATTATCTTTCGATTCCGTTTGAATTGAGCCACGAATTACACATATGATGTTTGTCAATTTAAAAGATAATTTTGCAAGTAAAAAAAAATTAAAATGTGTCGTAAAACTGTGAAGTAACACTTTTTTTTCTGTGAAACCGCTCAATGAACTACATCTCCCGTCTCGCACCACACACCAAGACGGCCGTCACGTTGGCACATTTCACCTCTTTCTTTCAGAATGAGGCGAAAAGTATTAAAAGAGGTGAAAATCACTACAAGTCTGGGCATGTTGAGAGCTGTACATACACACAAGGGGAGTTAGTCGGTTCCGTAAGAGCCAGCATGCGGGACCGGGATTCTGGGATTTGTAGTCTTTCTAGTTGCGTATTTTTCATAGTCTTATATTTCAACAGTTTTACTACAAACTGTGACTTTTTTGACATGGAAATTATTTGTTAAGATTGACAAACATCATATGTGTAATTCGTGGCACAATTCAAACGGAATCGAAAGATAATCTCTCTCTCCCCATTGACTTCAATACATATTTTTCCGAAATAAGGTCCCATGGGTCGGAAGTAGATGGGCGGGACTTCGCCTCTCAGTTTTTCTCAGACGCGGAGGGATACTGACTTGTTGTGAAAAGTAACTACAATTCTACCCGTGGTATACGCTCAGTATATCACGGCTAAGAACCAATCAGATTGCTTGATTTGACTTGTCCGTTTTATAAAGGCTATTATATGTTTTGATTATAATTATTGATGCATTAATGTGTTACCAAAGCTGGTAAAGGTGCAGCTAGTTTTAATGACATTGTATACTGCAGGGTAGCTTGTGAATTTACTCTAGGTGTGACTAAAGTGTTGATTATATTTCACATTATTGATCCAAATCTGCAAAGTAACTAAAGGTATTAAATAGATGTAGTGGAGTAAAAGTACACAATTTAAGCTACTTCTGAATTGTAGTGGGGTAGAAGTACAAAGTAGCAACACATTTATATACTCAAGTAAAGTACAAGTAACCATACTGTATGTATACAGGCGTGTGGAGGGGAGCGCTGAGCGGGCAGCAGCCCACAGGAGCTCTTCCATCTTCGATATGCTAAAAAAACGCAGTGAAGTCCAAGACCTGGACAACGAGAACCAGGAGAAGCAAGAAGTAGGTTAACAGGAACTCACGATACTTACAATAACTTATACACACACCTTCTTAAATATCCAAAACCTTTTCATGACGTGGCATTTTATTTTTATTAAAAAACAACAACATGTGTTGATCATTGCCTATAATCTGCACGATTAGTTGGATCATTATTGAGATTAGGATTATTCTTTTTTTATAAATGACAAAACATTTTTATTGCACTTTGAAACTTCAGTGTTCCTTTTTTAAAATCCAAACCACTATATCGCATTTTCTGTTGTGTTTCTACTGTATCCACAAAAATATATCCATATTTCTAACCACATACAATATATGATCTTTCAATAATATTACCAAAAAAATTAACATTTTTGTAAATATTTAAGACCCTGAGCTCTGGGAAGTATCCACCAGTATTTGTAATTGTGATTCGTGCTAGTCAGTTTTCTCCAGGTATCTGCTTAACCCAGAGTGACATCCATCTAAATCCATGTATTTGTAATTCCTTCATTAAAGGTGGGGTACTGTAGGTAATTTTGGAGAAACCAGCTCGAGTGCGCTAGAATTTGAAAATACACAGTCGGAAAAAATCTGCCACTTCCTTACAGAGCCCCTCCTCCAACACACACGAACGTGCACATGACCAATGAGGGCACGAGATAAGTTTGTGCACAGATGGAAGGCTGACAGGCAGGTAGGCCATCCAGTTATTTTAGCCGGGGCCGGCTCAGATGATTGGTCGTGCTTTTTACAGTAGGCCTACTACGGCTTCCACAGATGACATTTTTTTATGGATTTTTTGTCAAAGCACTTAAGATATTCATTGCTATCGGGATGTTAAGAGCATTCCATGAAATATAACAAAAAGTGTATCTCGAGCCGGTTTCTCAAACTTACCTACCCCACCTTTAATAGCTCATCGTGTCAAATGCTATTATTAACAAATCGAACAGTTACCAAGTGTTGATGTTTCCCACGCAGTGTAACTTTCTGATTTAATGCTCACTGTCCTGACTTACCATCATAAATGTTCCCAAGTCATGTTTGCCTACTGTCTCATTAGGAACTGGAGAATTTGCAACAGCGTGAAGCTGAGTTGCAGGAGAAGATTAAGAAAGCTAACAAGATGAACCTCAGCTTTGAGAAGATTCTCAGGGTACAGTGAAGGACCATTTCACACACAATTCCTGTATGAAACTGTACCTAACGTTATTTGATTTTAGTGTCATAGCTGGAACTGAAAACACTAAACTAAATCTCTCCATCTCCCTCCCTGCAGGACCAGTATACTGAATGTTCAGAGAGAGCAACGAGGGAGAGGAAAGAGGTTCTTCATCTGGATGCAGAGCATGAGAGGCTGGTGGTGGAGTTAGCTGAAGAGCTGCAGAGCAAAGCAGGAGCGAGAGCGCCAGCTAGTGAAACTCACTCCGTACGCTGTGAAGCTTCGAGCGGGCGGCCAAGTTGACCAAGGTACTGCAAGGGATTTTTTTAGAAGGTAGAGAATCTAATTTAAACATGTTTATTGTACAGGAATAGTCTGTGTGTGAAATCATAACAATTACTTTTATAATTGTTTTGATCTTTCTAAATCTTGTCTCTTGATGATGTCCTCAACAGTATTCACACACATTTAATATATGGCATTGTTGTGAGGAATAACATTTCTGTCTCTTTCTTCCTCCAGGTTTATGCTATATTTAAAAAAAAAATCATGGTATGATGTTTGCAGGTGTGGTCCATAAAGTGTATTGATTAGATAATTAATTTGAAATAATGGAGTTACATTGTGTGTGGTTTCTATGTGTGTCTGTTACAGTTTAAGGATGCAAAGAGCCTCGCAGATCATACGGAGAACCTTCTCCGCATTCGAGAGAGTCACCTCAGCAGGACCTGAAGAAGCGTGAGAAGTATGACGAGCTGAGGAGAACCCTGCAGTCAAAGCAAGAACAGCATCGCCTCATGCGTCTGCAGAAGAACTACGAGCTGTCCCAGATGGAGGTGGAGCATGAGAAAGAGCGCTCTGAAGTTCTGGAATGGGTACGAGAGCTGACCCCGGGTCAAAGTCCGGCATCAAAGCTAACACCAAATCAAATGATGATCTTCTGTGTGAAATGAAGTTGTCCCTGTCCCCACACAGGAGAGGAAGTGGAACCACATTCAGGAAACCGCATCAAAGAAATCACTTCTCCTGGGACAAAGCAAGATGGCGACACTCAACCTCTACGAAATGACGTGTCAAGACGAAAAAGGCAGATGAAGTGGTTGATATAAACGACACAGAGAAACAGCTGGACCAGGTGTGTACCCCAACAGAGCAGAGATGGAGGTAAAAAGCAGACAGAAAAATATACACTTGTAATGTTTTTACTGTCTCCTCAGGTTAAGACGTTCATGCAAGACAGCGACGACATGGTAACAATATCAGACTTCTTCACAGAGACAAGATGGAAAGAAAAGAGACAAAAAGAGCTTTCCAAGTCACAGTAAAAAAAGGCTTCAAAGTAACCTTTACCATGAGTCTCCTCACAGCTTTAGAACTGAATTTGCTGAGATGGAACTAAATAATTAAAGTGTGTTTATCTAATGTTAAACTCTGTGAGTTTCATTAACTGTTAACTTGTAGACACTGAACTTCAATACACTTGAACACTGAATGCAATCAAATATTGTCCATTTATCTCATCATTGTTATTAAAATGGCTTGATCATAAATTCTGAAATGGTTCTGATAGTGGTAGCTAAACATTTGAGGGTGACTTTTCATAAAGTCTATCCAGTTGCAATTCAGATAACTTATACAGTTAGTTTATTCAATCCTAAGCTTCTCCTCTCAGCACAATATCATGTAGACTTTGAATCATCAGGATAAAGGTCCGGTGCTGCCACCTCGTGTCTCTTAAAGAAAACAGCAATCTGTTGTAACTTGTTTTATTGATCAGATCTCAGAACAGCTTCTGATGGGTCTTTGTCTTTCACGGCACTTTTGACCCCTCTACAGACATACTGTCACTTAATGGTAGGAAAACAGTGAACAATAACAAAAGATTAACATTTATATATGGACATTCAATTTTATATATTGGCCTACAGTATTATCCACAATAGTGAAATGTAACTATTTACTTAAGTACCATACTTATATTGAATGTCGAGGTACAGGTATTTTATTATTTTCAATTATATATACATTGTTCTTCTGCTCCGCTACATCTCAGAGGCACATATTGTGCTTTTAACTCCATTATATTTTGGGATAGCTGTCGGCTAGTTAACTTTAAATATGATGTTGATATATGTATGATTATGTATAAAGATGAGACGTGGTGATTTTCAGAAGCCAATCAGCATTATGGTAAAAATAAAAAGGTTGTCTGCAACATTAAAGCGATAGACCTTGATATACCTATATATCAATAGGAATAAGCCAATAATATAATATAAAATGTACCATTCTGCTCAATGAGTAGGCCTACCTTTCCCTTTTTGAACCTAAAACATTTTTGGATCCTAACCCTTTTTTTGATTCAAGTGAATCGTAGGAATTAGACAGTGAGCGGATAATAATGAAGTTTTATTCTGAAATGAATGACATGTCATGTCCTAAAGGCATTGTTGTAAAAACAGGCTGTTTTGACACCACAGTTTTCAAAACGCATTTCAGTACATCATCTTTTTTTTATAGGTTTAAAAGTAGATATGTAAAATCTAAAATCACACGACTTACCAGTTTTTCATAGCATATTATGATGATGATCAAAACAAAACTAGTACATTTTACATATATTTTTGCTTAAAAACTAATGTTGCTGCTACTGCTCACTCTGTGCCCTCTTTGTTGTCGGGGCACAGCTCTGAAACACAGGAAGACAGAAGATAAACTTTAGGATAACACAGAAATCTTGGAGAATATCTGCAGTATTTCCATTTTTCTGATCGTGTGCATTGTACCTTATCTACTTAAAATGATCTGTATAAAAACACAATATTTAAATGTTACACCGTGTGGCAACTTGAGTACGTTCTTGTGTCCGCTTAACACACAGATTCAGCTTTGTTTTTATTTATTTATAACAGTCATTTTACTGAAGACTCACTGACCTGTTTTGCCGTCGTACTGTAGCTGTGGAAGTTCTCTGGGAAGCTCAGACACCCAACTTGAAAATGTCAACATCTTCAGGATCAATTTTTCCATTCCTTGCTGGAAAAAGGGTTGAAACTCAGAGATGAATTGTAAAATCTGATGAGGAACATACTGAACTGCAGGATGTATCTACCGGTGACGTCTCCATTTTGAAAGGTGTCCGTCCACAGCAGGCAGTCGGAGCAGCTCTGAAGGATATGACCTTTGTGGTCTGACAGATTTTCTTTAAAGACAGCAGAGCGACTGATTATATTTTTCACATGAAGATCAATTTCCAATGCTCCTACTGTAATCTTGTTAATAGCATGCTAGAGAAATAAGCTGCTTTACCTTATGTCAGGAGTTACTTACTGCGAAATGTGGTGGCGATGCCTGAGACTGTTGCATTCACCTCCCCTGAGATACACCGATTACTGGGAAACAAGAAGATGCTGGGCCAGAGTTTTGTTTTTTCAAAAGCTTCACATTTAAATAGTAAAACAATTGGTTCATTGTTTTATACCACATTTCATTCTGCAATGTTAAACTGATTTTACTCTTATATTTTATAAATACTGCTGCTACTAACAGCGATGTGTTCTTCTGTAAATTGAAATTATTTGTATTATTCTTGTTTTAAATACTATGTGCATGCCTTTTATCTAATATTGTCCTCTCTATCTTGCTGTAACAATGTACATTTTCCCTGTGTGGAATGATTAAAGGAATGTATATCGTTTTTATCCACTACATTTATTCAATACCTTAAGTTACTTTGCAGATTTGGATTAATGATAGAAATATAATCAAAACTTACACCTGGAGTAAATTCACAAGCTACCCTGCCGTATACAAAGTAATTTAAATTAGCTATACCTTTATCAGCTGTGATAACATTTGAATGCATCAATAATTATAATCAGAACATAGAATATATATTATTCTGCTAGGGCAATTTGCACAATGAGTACTTTTACTTTTGGTATTGTAAGTTTACTTGAATGCTTATACTTTTGTACTTTTACTGGAGTAACATGTTAAACGCAGGACTTTTACTTGTAACAGAGTATTCCTACACTCTGGTACTTCTTCTTTTACTTAAGTACAATATCTTACTACTTGTCCCACCCTCCAATGCTAAACACATTGTTGTGTCTGCTCAGCTTCTGAAGTTGTGAAGTGGTACTAAAACCTGTGATTGACAGGACATTCGCTACCAAAGACGCTACAGACAGAGGAGGAAGGCGGAGCTGGTGAAGCTCCAGCAGACTCTGACAGCTCTCAACTCCAAAACAGCCTTCTACCAGGACCAGATGAACTATTATGATACTTACATCAAGACCTGCCTGGACAACCTCAACAGAAAGTAAGTCGTTCATTTACTTCTTGCACTTTGTCAGGAGAAGTTTTTAGAATTATTTATTTTCACTGTGTAAATAATGTCGTGTGGATGGTTTGGTGGATTTCAAAATGTATTGTGTTTATTACTAATGCATTCCTGTGTTTTGTGTGACCAGGAATGCACGCCGATCTATAAAGCTGGACAGCAAAGGAGAAAATAAGGGCAGCAAGAAGTGGAAGCCCCAGTCTCTGAAGTACACTGGAGCAAGGCTTCATGAGAAGGGAGTCATCCTGGAGATAGAAGGACTTCAGACCAACCAGTGAGTTATCTGATCAGCTTGGTGTTTAATGTAACTCTTTACCATGGCTCAGACTTTGTTACTTACAGTCACACAACTCTTAGTGAAGTTTCTCATTTTAGATTGTGGCATGTAGAGACGTTTTGATTACCGTGTCGATGAACACATCTATCCTCCAATCAACCTTTATATCATTAACAAAAAATGTGTGTGGGTTTTATCCAAACAAGATTATGTAGTTTCTACATACTTAAGAATATGATTATGTTTTTCCAAGAAGAGGAAAGATGTCTGTTGACTAGTTAATTAACTGGTTCCTGTTACATGTTCTTTGTTCATGCTCTTTATCGTTTTTCTGAGTTGGAAAGTTAGATTGCATCATAGTTTATACATATTTTAACGAAATATACTGTATACAAGGTAGGACAAGGTAGGTGGGGTAGGTAAGTTTGAGAAACCGGCTCGAGATATACTTTTTGTTATATTCCATGGAATGCTCTTAACATCCCGATAGCAATGAATATCTTAAGTGCTTTGACAAAAAATCCATAAAAAGATTTCATCTGTGGAAGCCGTAGTACTGTAAAAAGCACGACCAATCATTTTAGCCGGCCCGGCTAAAATAACTGGATGGCCTACCTGCCTGTCAGCCTTCCATCTGTGCACAAACTTATCTCGTGCCCTCATTGGTCATGTGTGCGTTCGTGTGTGTGTTGGAGGAGGGGCTCTGTAAGGAAGTGGCAGATTTTTTCCGGCTGTGTATTTTCAAATTCTAGCACACTCGAGCTGGTTTCTCCAAATGACCTACCCCACCTTTAAATGTAAGGCAGACAGATATCAAATATATCCAAGCTAATTTAAGCTGATTTGAGTCCTGTGAAAAAATGACTTGTATTTTTTTAGTTTTTGTTTGTGTTTTTGTTTAATATAATAACATGGTTTTTTGCTTTGTTGTCACTTTGTCATTAATCTCTGTCTATTGCCTCTCTCTTCTTTCAGGTTCAAAAATGTCATGTTTGACATTTCACCCACTGAGGAAGTTGGAGATTTTCAAGTGAAGGCCAAATTTATGGGAGTTGAGATGGAAAAAGTCCAGCTTCATTTCCTGGTATACATTTACCTCTTGATTCCCTGGAACAAAGCAGCTCACCAGTCAGCATTAAGCCTTGATGACAGACACTTAAATGCCATTTTCAACCCATTAGACAATTAAAGAAACAGCGCAAACTATTTCTAATGAAGAGGACAGCAGTGGACACATTTGTTTTAATGAATCTGTATGAACAAACATACTGTATAAACAAAGGTGTGCATAGAGACCGGGCTGTACTACAAATGTTACTACATCAATACAAACTTAATATAATATCTTTATCTGCTACCATATAGACAGGGTTCATTACTTAAAAGGTATGCAAACATGCCACATTAGTACCTTATCTCTATGAATGACGTGTGTGTGTGTGTGTGTGTGTGTGTGTGTGTGTGTGTGTGTGTGTGTGTGTGTGTGTGGTGTGTGTGTGTGTGTGTGTGTGTGTGTGTGTGTGTGTGTGTGTGTGTGTGTGTGTGTGTGTGTGTTTTCTCATTGAATGTGTTTGTATTCTGTTTCCAGGACCTCCTTCAGCTGCAGTACAAAGGCGTGGCCGTCATGAAGATGTTCGACAAAGCCAAAGTCAACGTCAATTTACTCATCTTCCTCCTAAATAAAAAATTCTATGGAAAATGACAAAGTGAAGGGAGGAAAAGCAACAAAGAGGAAACAGATTGTGCCTTCTGATTGTGCTGAGCTTGTGGAACAAAATTAATTCAGCCAGATAACACGAGATGGGGCAGGACAGTGTTTTGTATTGTACCCTCCTCTTATAATTTTAAGGATCACACCAAAATCTAATGCTGTTGTCCAACTTAATGTATCAGCTCTGTATTTTTTCATGTGGTAATTGTAAATGTAATGTATTTTTAAGATTTAAATTGTAATGATATTCATGTTTTGTATGTAAAAACTGTCCCATGTATGTTGAAACAACTGTGGATTAGTTCAGAAATCCAGCTGGGGAGCAGATTTTCAGCCGGCCTGTATCATTCTATAAAATACTGTAGTTTACCACAGTGCCTTTTAATTAAAGTGTGTAAAGAAACATGTTTTAATAAATAAAACATCAAAAATATTTAAAAGCTACAACGGATGAAGTTGTACTATGTGTTATCAAGAAGTGATTGCTAATGTTTAAATTATTTAAATGTGCAGAATAAATAACATGTTTTTTTATCAACTACTTTGACTAGTTTTAGTTTAATCTGCTAACCTCCCACTGGGACACATTACTTCTCTGCAGAGAGGGAGAGACGGAGTATTTACCACAATAACATGTTTGATGCTGAAGAATAACACACTGATCCTGTCGCTACAAGGACTTTTGTTGCACATTTTTACTTTTTTTTTTTTAAATCGACAGTTTTAATAAACGATTTCTATTTATAGTTTATAAAACAAGTTGTTTTGAAAGTTGTCAATCTTTGCACTGAAATGCCGGCGGATGTAACTTTAACATTGTTTTGTTACCATGGAAACGAGTCGGGGAGGAACGCTGAGAGCTCGTAAAAAGTTTGAACACAAAACCAACGACAGAAGCAGGAGGAAGAGGTCAGATTCTGGAAACATTTTTAATTTAATCTACTCCGCCGTGAAAACTTTAAAAACAACAAAGAGTCATGACCTCCAGAGCGTCCGTAAGAAGCAGCTGTTACAGCGTTCACGGTGATGTGTGTGTGTGTGTGGAGCCAGTGTTGTGTGTGTGTTGTTGGCGATGTGCTCTGCCTGCGTGTTGAGGTGGGAGAAGTAGGCTACTCAGATCTGGTATTTGAGTAAAAGTAGAAGTACCAGAGTGTAGGAATACTACTCTGTTACAAGTAAACGTCCTGCATCAAAATGTTACTCAAGTAAAAATACAAAAAAGCATCAAAATATACTTAAAGGTGGGCAGTGGCGTTTTTATATGTACAAAAGTGGTGGGGCACAAAAAACGTAGATGTCTATATATAAGCTTCTGCAGTGACGTGAGGCAGTGAGGTTCATGGCTGGTGAGGCACTGGCACTGACTCTTCAGGTTTACAAATATTATATTTTGACCTAAAACCAAATATAATATTATTTTCAAAAGCTTTTTTTGTCTGATGCTTCGATTAATTTTAAACAGACAGTTCAACAAAAGGATACCCCAAAAATGTAATTTTATCATTTAAATATTGAATTGTTCTCTCTAGTAAGATCCCATTTTCAATCAAATTGCGGTCTTACCTTGACTTGAAGATGAAGTCCATTTGCCTATCCTTCTGGACAAAAATGTCTATAACTTTTTTGTAAAAGTCCTCCTTATGTTCTTGTAGTTTCAAAAGTCTATCATAAATCTAATCCATAGATTTATGATAAAAAAATTATAAAAGTAGGGTAGACATGTGGATGTTATCCGGCTGATCAAAACGTGCATTTATCTAACAGGTATGTTTCCCACAGATCTTATTTCCAGCTATTTTCTAAAATCCTCTGGAGAAATCTCATTGCTTTTTTTGTCGAGGGAAGCCATGCGCAGCTTACTTCCTGGTTTTAGGACGCGTCACTGCAGCTCTCTCGTCTCCTCTTCACACACCACACTTTTCGCGGCACACGTACTTACAGCCAATCAGCTCTGAATGATTTGAGATGAACTATGGTGGGGATGGTAGCTCCATGCCCTCTGGTCATTATTTTTTTGCCACACACATTTCATTACAAAATACTCTGAGCATGCGCAGTGTAGTTTTTACAGTCACCGTTGACCTTCACAGCGAGAGGGAGGGGCATAATCAGGTTTTGTCCCACATGGCTCTAAACAGCT